TTTACTATTAGACCCTGAGATAGGGCCTGTTTAGTGGAGTCTTTCGCCGGAAAACTCGATTTCGACCTGTGATTACCCGTCTGGCGATTTTTCAGTGTTATTTTCACAACAAAACCATTTATCCTCTCGATTGCCAGACAAAAAGTAAACGCGGAAGGTTCTTTTCTTTTCTCTTGGAAGTTGACACCCATCCCCATTTTTTCAGCTATTGGAAAGCATCTGGTATTTTTCATGGGTGAATTATTTATCAATGTCAATCTTTAATTAAAAAGCCAGAAAATTGAAAAAAAAATCTTCATGTAAATCAATTTTTTTCTTATGTAAATTTTCGAACGGGTGGCAGGCATTAAAATCACCCCTAATCCACTGATCTCCCTAATCTCATCAGCTTAGTAGCCACATTCAGCCCACAAAATGCCAGACAAAAAAATATGACTCCACTAAACAGCCCCTATCTCACAGTCTATATAATGGAAGCCTATATCGTACTAGTGATATAATTATTAACTTCTTTCGGATAAGATAAAATAATACCGTATGCTTATAGCTATATAGGGTTTCGAAAACGATAGGTATGTTCATGTCTGTTGGAACCTCAATGGTTGGAGCAGATTTTGAGCTATAGTGTCATGCATGTATCATGGGGGAAAGAAAATTGGTATCACCAATGAACTATCACTGATTTTTGAATTTGACAACCTCACACAGTTTGAGAGCTCTGTTGGAACAAAACTTGTTTTAATCGATACCAATGATTAATTCCAGAACTATCGGCCTATCAAGAGCACTATCATACCATACTACTATCGAATTCAATCCCTAATTTTTTCTTGAACAATCGATTGTTGTAAATGACATAACATCAAACTATCGATAATAATCGGTAGAGCCCACCCGGACCGAAATGAAATATCGGTTCCGTTCCAGTTCCGGTACGCATCATGACAAATATCGGTTCCGGTTCTTAGACAAATATTTCGATCCGGTTCGTACCAATAATTCCGGCTTTAACGGTTCATACCGCTATAGTTTTTCACAAATATCTGCTGACAGAAAAAAAATATGTTTCTGTAATTTGTGGTTTATTTTTTGTTGGATTCCTCTGCCTATCCGCAAAAACTTTAATAAAAATAATTATTAATAATGATAATCAGTTGAATAATAAAAATATCAATCTCCAACCACACCAAAAGTACCAGTGATGACATAGGCAGTGCGTTTTTTCTTGCCTTGATACGTGTAGGTAGGCTATGATCGCGCTGATTTTTTATGCTTTATGCATATTTAGTTTTAGGTTTCAGGTTCTAGTACATTATTTAATATTCTAAAACAACCTTTGTTTAAATCTTGTTTGCACCTTCCTCTTGCCTATTATGTTGATCAAAATTAAATGATATTTTCATCATACCTAAATCCCTATGTATATTCTTAACTACGACCGCTGGCGCAAACCGCTTAAAGCCTAGTACTCATAACTGCGAAATTCGCATTTTTTTGACATTGCTTCGACACATTGACGTTTGATACACGCATAAAACGTCAAATTGTCAACGCAATGTCAAAAAAATGCGAATTTCGCAGTTATGAGTACTAGGCTTAACGAGTCGACACCGTTGATGACGTCGGCAACGGTGCAACACCATATCGTCACCAAAAGTAACTGGGACACAAATAATGCATAATAATATCCTGGACTAATTCTAATGTCATTCATTTTAATGCATTTAATGCATAATTTGACAAATATTTGACAATAAAATTCATATAATAGGACAAGAGCTAATGTGATGCTGTCCCAGTTACTTTTGGTGACGATGGTAATTGATTCCAAAAATCGAGGCCAATGGAGCAATCCTGTAGTAGTGTGTAATATCCTTGGTGTGCCTAGCTGAGTTTAGGAATGCTCGCTTTCCAAGGCTCATTTTCTTTAGAGTGTTAAATTTATGACCAAACAGTCCAACAACAGAACCGATTAATTTATATCGGTTCCGGTTCTGCCTGCCTTACAACTTTCATAGGTTGCCTGGTAATGGTAATGGGTAACGATGACGCCTCTGGGGTGCCATATGGAAAGGACCCCGCACACCTCTTATGGGTTTTTGGTTTTCTGTCAAACTCAATGAAATTTTGATATGTGCTAGACCTTGACTTCCTGATAAAAAGTTCTCATGGGCCCTAACCAATCCTATGATTAGTTTTTGAGATACAGGTACTTTAATGTCCAAGAAATGTACACATTTTATATGTATTCAAATCTACCTGTCACTTAATATTAGGTCTGTTTCTGCAAAAATCACAAACCCGTCAGAGCGAATTTGATTGGTCGAAAACAGTCAGAAACAGTCAGAAAACTAGTTTCAACCAATGAAATTCTCTCTGACTGACCTATTAATAGGTGACAGGTAGATGTGAATGCATATAAAATGTGTACATTTCTTGGACATTAAACCACCTGTATTTCGGAAACTATTCATAGTATCGGGTTGGGCCGATGAGAACTTTTTATCAGTAAGTCAAGATATACCACATATCAAAATTTCATTGAGTTTGACATAAAACCAAAAACCCATAAGAGGTGTGCGGGGTTCTTTGCACTATGTTGAGGCCCCTCAGATGACGTTATAAAGTTATCAGGGGTGCGTTCAAAAACGGCAATTCTAATGCCAAAACTTACTTTTCCTACGAGCGTGCGCAAAGTAGTACTTTTCCGCACGCATTTCCGGGCTCAAAGTTACACTTTTCCGCACTCAGTGCGGATACGGGCCTTATCCGCACTGAGTGCCGAAAAGTAATTATAATTGTCAAGCAACAATAAGTGCACCTGTCGACTTTGACGCATGATGACAAATTTTTCCTCTTGTTTCTATATCAGCAGCCAACATCTATACAAACACCAAATATAAATTAACTTTGACACATTGTCAGATTTGTTCTCTATTTATATGCAAAAATCTACAAACTTTTTCATCAAATTTAAACGCTTTAAGATGAACAGCTCTGACGAGGATTTTCTGTTATTTTTTTTTGTTATGTAATTTTTTGATAAATGCATAGGTTCCCTTCAAGTTAATTAAAAATAACAACAAATTATCGTTTTTTTTTTTTAAATTTTTGTTATTACCTACCTGATATGAAGCTCGTAGGAAACATTTTGTTCCTAACACGTGCGCAAAGTGTCTTTTCCGCACGCAAACACGTATCCGAACTCCGCTCCGCGTCGTTCGTATAACTGTGTTTGCGTGCGGAAAAGTAACACTTTGCGCACTTGTTAGGAAAATAACTATTTCCCCCTCCACCAGTAATGCCGAACCACGTAGGTTGAAGCCGAACTCGAACGCAAAATGCCAATTTTGGCTTGGCTGTAGCCATTCCTGAACGCAGCCCAGGCAACTTACCTCTCTCAAGCAACCTTGGTTTCCTTCGACCTTAAGGAAGCTTTGAACGTTTAGAATTGACATGACTCTTGTCAAATAGTAGCAGGTGTCCATTCCGGTGCCGGTCCGCAAAAAAAAGAAAACAATTCCGTTACCGTTTCCAGTTCCATATCGTTCCGGTTCGGATCCCTGGTGTCCACAATCGACAGTTCTCGAACTCGTCGATAGTAAACTACTATCGAAATCAATCGATAACTTATTTCCTTGAACAATCGATTCTTTTTGATATTAATCGACATTTTCGTACAAAAAAAAAAAAAAAAAAACCAATTTTGAAGAATTTTATGACATCAGTATTTTCTTGCATTAAAATTCATTTGATCAAAATGATAAGCATTAGAGCGATTAAAATTCAAACGAGGGCACACCATTCACATTCACCATTCTCAATCAATAAGAACGTTACCTACTTCATTGATCGAATTTTACGGAGCAAGAAAGAGCGCTCCGTGCGAGATTTGAGAGCGTTCTATTGCTCATGTCGAACTCGTGAATTTCGCCGACAGCTACGCTCAGTTTTAAAGCCGAACATGTGAATCCGCTTCGGATCGTTTTTTTGTTCAATCGGGTGCAGTTTTGAGGCAAAAGTTGAAAGCGCTATATCATTGATAAGTCGATGGTGGCAACTATCGATAGTTCTCAAACTCTAGGAAAGGAGTGCGTTCGAAAAAGGGTTAAAATTTACACAAAGGTGAGAGTGGGTATATGGTCGTTTCTGCAGAAATCACAAACCAGTCAGAATGTGAGAAACAGTCAGAAAACTAGTTTCAACCAAAGGCTGTTTTCGATTTGTTTTGGTCCACTTCAAGGCCAACCAAATTAGAATCGACCGTTTTGATTCCAAACCGATTACGTCACAGGAATCGCTTGGTCCGTCTAAATTCGAACCAGCTTTGCGAGTTGGTTCGAATTTTGGTATGAATTTCGGTTCGCTCTTATAACTTTTAAACATGACGTTTTTCTTGATAGACCAAATTCAAAAGCTGTCAACCGACTTCTGTCATATCCGAACCAACCAGGCCGAACCTGGTTGCGAATCGAAAACGGCCGATGAAATTCACTCTGGCTGGTTTGTGTGTTCTACAGAAACAGACCTATTTTATTATAAGTGGATTTAAATTATGAAAAACTGACAAGAATGACAGCAGTGAAATTTATCTAGCGGCAGAGTTGGTTAAGAAAAGCCGCTTTTGTGTTTGTGCTTCATGCACGATGTAGCACAGTGTTCTGTGTTTGAAACGCAAAAGTTAGCAGCTCTCGAAGCGCAGTACGACTGGAACACGAATACGCGCTTGAAGCATTTGCGCGCGCAAAAGCTCGATTGCGTGCTCAAGATGGTCAGCTGGAAAGCGGCTAAAGAGTGCACTCTGGGTAGCACCCTGGATATGTTTGAACTAGCGTGAAAGTCAACAGGAGTTTATACCAATTCATTTTGGAAAGGATGGTGTGCACTCGGTGTGACCCCAGACTCATTTCGAACGCACTACAGGATTCAAGATCGATACCGGCTTGATACGCTCCGAATCCTACCACACGTCAATTTTCGGGAAAATTCCGACAGATGACAGAACGAGAAGATGGAGAATGGAGAGGGCATATAAAACAAAAACCAGCTGACTGATGATGACTGTGACATAACAAAAAAAATGAAAATATCCTTTGTGTAAAAATTTAGATTATTTTCCTTTATCCAGGTTTGTTATAAAGATTAATCATTTATATTAATTATTCAAATTAGCCCCATATTATTATGTAAACAAGTGTTATCAGCTTTTAACCCAACAATGTTTGTACACAAAAATCAGCTGTTAGGTGTCAAGAAGTTTTTAATTTTAAGATTATCAATAATTTAAAAATATAAACAATTAATTGGCTTGATTAAACATTTTTCAGCTTTTACACACCAAAACCAAGCAAACTTATCTAGAAAATCAATTATTTCGCACAGAAATCTCAATGATATAGTTATTTAGCAGTCCTAGAAAAAGTACAGTGTGTTGCGTGTAAAAAGCACTTTTCACACTTGTGTGGTTTGTGCCACTCGCCTGCGGCTCGTGCCACCAAACTTCCCCACGCGTGTGTAAAGTGCTATTTTCAACACTTGTTGCACAATATACTATTCTATGTCCTCTCTAAACCTAAACACACAAACGATAAGTATTATTATTTGCTTTTTAGGACAATTTGTACCTTGTTTTTAAATTATGTGCAATAACGCAGTATTACAGAGGATATTTTAGCGAAATGGAAGGACAAATGGACGGTATAAGTTGTTCGCAATTTACTTTTTACAATGACTTTGATTCGGCCAACCTGTCACGAGTTGAATTCATTGCACACAGCGAATCTGGTAAGAACTCTCAGCCTTTTCTTTTAAAAACAAATTTGAAAAAAGCTGGTATCCTAAATTTGATCAGAATATAGAAGGTCTGTTTCTGCAGAAATCACAAACCAGTCGGAGTGAATTTCATTGGTTGAAACTAGTTTTCTGACTGTTTTCAAGCAATGAAATTTACTCTGACTGGTTTGTGATTTGTGCAGAAACAGACCTAGAATCAAACCACTGATCGAGCATGCAATATTTGAGGAAAAGGAATATCAGTTAGGAGTTATTGAAACAAGGTACAAACTTATGTGGGAGAGGCGGAAAACAGTTTAATTTAGGTTTTAACGCTGCTCCAATTTTGTTCTTTCCTAAATTTCAATCTTTTTTCCATCTATGTAGGTACATACAGTTTTTGAATAATTATTGTCATCTGATTATAAAATTTTGTATATTATCGTATGAATCTCCATTCGTAGGTCGATCAAGTGTGTGGTATCACTCTGTTTCTGACAACCCCTTCAACCTTCCCTGTTAGTATGAATTTAATCCCATGTACAGTTTTTGAATAATTGTCATCTGATTATTGACACCAACTTTGAGTTTAACCGGAGATTAAATTTAATTGGAATTTTCAATCATGGATTAAATTCAAAGTTGGTGTCAAATGATAGTTTGTGAAAATCTAAGACAAGCATATAAAACCGGTTTTGCTGTAAAATTAACCGTTTAGGTGGAACAGCCTGTCAAAGTTGCAAAAAAGTCAAATTTTAACTGTCAATATTTCCAAAACAGTTGAACTTAGGTATAGTGTATATCACATGAAATCTGGTCAGAATTTCACGTACAGTCTGTTTTTTTAAAAAAAAAAAGATAATTCCCCAAGTCAAAAATTTAGTAACTATGTTGGCAACACAAGCCTTTTCTATATAAAAAACTAGCTAATGACCCGCTGCGTTGCCAGCGTGTAAATACATTTTGAAATAATACACTTCTTTTCAAATTTTGTTGTTGATTTTCTATTTAATTTTTTTTTTTTAATCCGATATCAGAGTCGCTTGCCAGTGAGTTCAGTGACGCATTTTAAGCACTCCAGAGCTGCTCTAGAGCGCCCCGGGCTGTTTATAGGCGTTCCAGTGTATCAGAGTTTTATGCAACCGAACTTTTTTTTTCGGGATAAAAAATAGCCTATATCACTCTCCTCTATAGCCGATTCGATTGACCGGATTAGATCGATCTGGTTCAATTTAAGTGAACTACACTGTGTTCGATTCAAGCTGGATCAGTGCACGCTCATCAACAAAAAAATGATCTAGATCAGAAGAAGTTCACCAAATCGATCTAATCTGGGTCAATCGAATTCACCTTATATAGAGATACGTGGTATTAATTCAAGATCGGTCCAGCCGTTCTTGTATTTAAAAAATAATAAAGTTACGTCGGTTGAATGCAAGCCTAAATAAATGAAATATAGCAACGTTGTTTCATGCTGTCAAAAAAAGTTGGGTTATGTAATGTGAATGAGTTTGTTTACAATAATTAAATTAATAATTAATTCAAAATTAATTTCTTTTTCCGAGATGCGTAACCTATCCACAAACCTTCCTTGGGATGGCAATAACAACCTACCAAAGTTTGATCGTAATCGGATAAGTGATTTTGGAGCGCATATCCAGATACCCCGCGAACTTTGATTTTTATATATATAGATGTGAAAGCATTGACAGTTTTACATTGTATTGCCAACATAATGTCATTTTGACTTTTATCTTTAAAAAAAAACAGACTTTAGAATCCGAATATTCAATAAGATACAGGGTGTCCCATTAGAGAAAATTTTTTTTTTTTGTTTTTTAAACTTTCTGCCTTGCTTTCTGCAATACCCTGTATGAACAAAACTATGTTTTCTGAGAACTATTTTTCAAGCACTACACCTTCCCTATTTACATTTTTTTGTACACAGTGGAAAAAAAAAGTTTAGAAAATATAAAAAATGACCCTGTACAGGGTGCTGCAATTTGGAGTGTTTTAACAGGAAAAACACACTTCCAGACCAGATAGAGGAAAATTGACTTAGGTGTCATGGGATCGATTTTTGAGAAACGTCAATTGTCAATCGTATCACGATATCTTCAATGGTACCATTGATACAGGGCGATTTTCGATTTTCTCCTATTATGAAAAATGTCTATAAGTTTTTTATTCATCAATTTTTTTCATTTCTTTAAAAACATTATGTAGACACTTTTTTGAGCACAATCCAGTGGCGGACTCGGTTTTTTTCTATATCGCTCCAATTTCAAGATATCGACCAAATTCCGATATTTTCAAATGAAACATCCTTTATATTAATAGCTCATTGGATAGCTCTGTTTTTGCTGATTTCAACGATATAAAGTTCGATAGGTTTGTCTCTAACAGTTTTCCAGAAAAAAAATTATATCTGTTTCAGTCATAAGAAACAATGTGTTAGAAAGAGACCTTCCTCACTTTCCTTACACATATAAAATCCTTTTCTAACACATTGGTCCTTACGACAAAAACAGATATAATTTTTTTTCTCGAAAACTGTTAGAGATAAACCTATCGAACTTTATATCATTGAAATCATCAAAAACAGAGCTATCCAATGAGCTATTAATATATAGGGCGTTTCATTTGAAAATATCGGAATTTGGTCGATCTTTCTGCAAAATATCAATCCCCATCACCCATTATCCATATCCTAATAATTTTTAGCCGTGGTTAAACAACCGTCAACCTCATCAAACAATAAAACTGTCGAAATACCAGATGCGGAGTTTAACTTGTGGACCAAACCCGATTGTCACAATACAGAATTTGAAAATGGCAATAGAACGTGGTTCTATTTCGGCATCAAAGGTACAGAATGGATAAGGTTTTTGGCAAAATACTAAATTATTTTTCATGTAGCTCCTCAAGGCGGTTTACTGGTCAAACTCAACCTGGTCGATTTGAACAGACAAGGAAAAATGTACAGTCAGGGCATGGCACCTGTATATAGAATTTTACCTGGCAAATCTAAATGGGAACGGATACATGATAAACCTGTATATAATGTATAAGCAAAATATTATTTCTAAAACTTTTCATATTACTATGTATTATCATTGTAGACTGTTGAAGATATTTTTATATTATCTTTTAAATTCCGTACTCCTGAAAATCTGGACAGTTGCACGTATTTTGCTTTTACATATCCATTTTCCTATATGGAATTACAAAAAATGATTAGCAATATTAGTTTGAAATACTTGTCCATTGCACCTATTTCTGAGGATGATATTTATTACGTTAGAGAAACTGCTTGTTTGTCATTGGAAGGACGCATTGTTGATTTGATTACTATTTCTTCCTATCATGGAATTACTACGGAAAGAGAGGATAGGTTGAAAAATCTTTTTCCCAATAAAGATGCTCAAAGACCTTATAAGTTTGTTGGAAAAAAGGTATAATTTAATGTTCTAACTATTATCACTAAATAATGGATTTTTTTTAGGTCATATTTATCTCAGCAAGAGTCCATCCAGGTGAAACCCCTTCAACATTTGTGTTCAATGGATTTCTCAATTACCTTTTATGTCGAGATGATTTGCAATCCCAAATTTTAAGGAAAAATTACGTATTTAAGCTAATACCTTTTTTGAATCCAGACGGAGTGGCTAATGGACATTACAGAACAGATACTAGAGGTGTTAATTTGAATAGGATTTATTTGAATCCTAGCATAGAGGAACATCCATCTATTTATGCTGCAAAGTCTTTAATTAGGTAATGATGATGTTTGTTTTTGCTTTATTTTGTATATGATATTTTTTCAAGATATTATCATTTTGGTTTTGAAAAAGAAGAAGCCATACCAAAATGTGACCAGTGCAAAAAGGACCCTAACAGCAATCACGAATCTCACAAGGGTGATACCGATAACTTAAATAAGCTTTCTAGTATGTCGTTAAAGGAAGAAGGTGATTCCTCTGTATCGTGGTGCACCAAATGTAAGGCTAACATAATAAAACTAGAAAATACCATGCCGGGCATTTCGACGCTGGTACCAACTTTTAATTTGCCCTCGAATACTCCTCTAGGGCACAATTTTTGTCGGCAGTGCGGCACGGCTCTGACCCACACCGAAAGCAAGGAGGAAGTAAAGTTCGAAAATGTACTCGCCAACCGCGGCGACGTCAATTCCAACGAATCCGGAATATTTTTGTATTTGGATTTGCACGGGCACGCTTCCAAAAAAGGGATTTTCATGTACGGAAATCATTTCGACGATCTCGAACGGAGGGTGGAGTGTATGCTGTTGCCGAAACTGATGGGGATGAACAATCATCATTTTCATTTTCAAGGGTGCAATTTTACGGAGAGGAATATGTATCTCAGGTAAGACTTATTGCTTACTTACTTATTAAAATTACTAATGAGTTAACATTTTGAGTCTCTTCTGAATTATTCAATGAGTATTCATAATCTTGATTCTTTAGCTTTAGAATCCTCAGTTTTAACTCATGAATCTTCAATTTTGATTCAATTCAAGAATCTTTCTTTTCTGGAATCTTGACCTGAAATCTTTGGAGTACTGGGATATTCAGAATCTTGATTGAATCTTCATTCTTCAGGTTCTTACGTCTAGTTTTTTCAGAGTTTTCAGCATTATGTCATCATTTTTCAGTGTTTGGTATCAAGTCTTCAGGATCTTTAGGCTTAAATTTTCACACTTTTTAGTATTGAATCATGAATCTTTAAAGTCTTTAGGGTAATTCTTTAGTCATTTATGAGTCTTTGCTGTTTTCAGAATCAAATGAGCTGAAATTTTCAGGGATTGTAGTCCCTTTATTGAGATAAATTTCAGTGAAAATTTCAGCTTTCTATCTATAATAGAAAAAAAGTTATGCCCTTCCAAAGTTTTCCAAAATCTAAATCATAAGGTAGCTCTACCTTCTTACTAAAACGATAAAATTTCAATTTTTTTTTTTGTTGAGATTTTGTATCCTAATGGTCAATTAACATCCCCCAAACTCCATACACTAAATTATTCATCACCCCAAATGCTTAACACGATTTTATCTCAGGAACTATAAGTGCAAATATTCTCAACTAAAGAACACATCCTCAATATTGAGTTTTCAGGAGTTTGAATCAACTTTTCAGAGTTTTCTAACATTGAGTTACAATACTTATGTGTGCATTTTAACCGTTTTCAGTGTTGATTCTTTGGGTATGAGTCATCAGAGTCTTTGTTAGTTCCTATCGAGTTTTAGAATTCAACTCTTGATTTTGTTTCAGTTTCAGTATAGAAATGTGACTTTTAAATTCCCACTGCTAGTTGTTTAGTCATAAGCATTTATCAGAGTTAATTTTTGAGTCATCAGCCAGTTCATCCAGCCAAAAATCCCTAGTCTACAGGTCCGATTTTTCAGAATTTTCAAGAGTCTTCGGTGTTTATTCTTTTATGTCATGCGGCCCACGAATTTTCAGAGGCTGTGTTGCCTTCAAAATCTTGCCTCAAAAATCCAGTCATTAGGTTCTTTAGGGTTGACTTCTTATATTTTTCAGTAACTTCAGATTGGTTTTAGAATCTTGCCTCTCATATTCCGTTACAGAACCCTCATGCTTGATTCTTCAGAAGTCATGAAATAATGAGTCATAAGTCCTGATTAAAGAAGTCTTGACTCTTCAATGTTTCTAAGACACAAATTTGATTTAACTTACAGAGATAAACGTGATGGTATGAGCCGAGCAGGTTCAGGAAGAGTAGCCGTACTATCATTCACAGGAATAATAAAAAGTTACACTCTAGAGTGCAACTACAATACCGGAAGACTTGTAAACGTGCTACCGCCAACAGTCAAAGAAAACAACGGTAAAGTCCACACTTTGCCAGTACCGCCTAAATATACACCGCAAATATTCGAAGAGGTAATTCACCTAAAAGCCTAAACTCTATATTACAAAATCAAATTGTAGGTTGGCCGTTCGTTGGGCGCCTCAATTTTGGATCTGACCGGTCAGAATCCGTTTTCCCGATTGCCAAATTCCGAATTTCACAATTTAACCGGTCTCAGGGATTGGTTGCGCAACAGTTGCGCTACCAACAATTTCGGCGAAGCCAAACCGAAGCTGACGAGGATGCGCAATTCGTCTGTTACGGGCCAAACGCAGGTAGGCAATAATAATGACAATGTGGAAATAACCACTTGTACAGTGTGCTAAATTTTTTTACAATCTGTGTGTTTTTGTTTTTCTAACTTTAAAAGGATTGGATACCTATACATAAACATGTATATTTAGTTATTATTTTGTCAGATAATTAGTTTGCTAAAAGCTTGAATGGCCAGTATGTACTACTTTTAAATTGACTTTTATTTCATTATTTATGTTATCCATTCTTTTAAAAGTTTGCCATTTTGTTTTAACATTTCTATTTCTTGTTTTTACAGTAATTTAACATTGATTATTCAAAGCTTCGATATTTTTATTTAAAATAAGGGAGAAGCTCTAATCCCAGAGTAAATGAATCCTATTTTTGTACTTCTTTATTATATGAGTCATCATCAAAACACAGAAATGACTTTTTCTGTATTTTTGACCTTGTATCAGAACTTGACTAGAGAAAATTTGACTGGAATCCAACATTTCATATTTTTATACACATTCCTTATTTTGTATGTTTTTTTTGTTGAAAATTGTATTGTTACAAAGCTAATCTGTGATAATTAAATTTGTATATAACTATCGAATACCTACTTATTACTAATTCTGGCACTGTTATATGCACTATATTTTTTATTTAAAAAAAAAATATAAATGATGTATTTTTACGAAGATTTTTTTTTACATTTGTACCTACACCTATTATACTTACTTATTTTTTTATTTTGTTTTTTGTTGATTGTCGATTTATTTTTTGGCTTCCTGTATCGTCTTGGCAAAAATCTCAGGTTTGAACGAATAATGGGTTTTTATGAGTTATTTGGTAATGGGTACATACATGGATTGAACATTTTTTTTATTGAAAGAAGTAGAAATAGATCCATAATGAGTGTTTCAAACACCATTTTCTAAAAATATCAATTTTATGTGCACAAACAGGGTCTAATAAAATGTACACCTTTAGGAGATCTGGGGACATTCTCTGGTATTTACACAACTTAGGTACCTATGCTTAAAAGTTTTTTTTAGTTATTTTAGGTATTTCAGGAACCAGCAAGGCAATTATTTATATAACTGACCCATAATTCTTGAAATCGATATGAGGAATAAAAAGATACCTTTTTATCCATGGTCCAGCATCTAGAGTCTCTGAGAGATGCCTAGTGAATTTTTTTTGTTGAGAAACCTGAGTAGGCTGCTTCTGTTAAATTAAATATAACTGTGTTTTGAAGCAACGAGGATATAAATTTCACTGATTTCGTTGAAAATGTATTTAGGTAGCGGCTTAGTTAAAATATCTGCAACATTTTCATTTGTTGGGATATATTTTAAGATAAAAAGCTCCTTCGCTATACAGTCCTTAATACAGTGTGCCTTAATGTCTTTATGTTTCTACTGTTTTTGAAATTTTCCATAGACCTTAATGCACCTTCTTGATTGTCAATTAAAACTAATGATTCCATATTTTTTATAGAAAAATCACTGCAAATGCCTTGTAAGTAAATAAATTCTGAAGCAGTCATTGCACTGGCAAGATATTTTGATTCATGGCTCGACTGTGCAACAACATTTTGTTTTTTCGACCCCCATGAATTTTGTTCAAAAACACTGCATAACCACTGACACTTTTTCTGTCTAATTGATCACTGCCCTAATCCGCATCAGTGTAGGCCGTTAGTTGCTTCTTGCTTTCCGTGCTTCTTTCATAAGTGAGTGACTTGTTCTGTATTTGTTTCAAGTATCTTAGGATCCTCTTTGCAGCTATCCATTCTTGTTCTGTAGGTTTATCCAGATGAATTACAGAGCATTAAATATCTGGTCTGTTTATTGTAGCTGGGTATAATAATGAACCAATAATTTTTCTGTAGGGTATGTTAGTTCTAAGTGGTTGATCCTCTGTTTGAAAATTTGGTTCCATAGATCTGGATATAGTTTTGCAGTCTTCCATTTTGAATCTTCCTAGCATTTTCTCAATAGTTCCTTTTTATGAGATGTGCACTCAGCGGCGGATTTAGGATTCCTTCTAGGGGGGGGCGATCCATCAGGGCCTCAGGCTCAGATAAGAAATAATAAAAAAACGACTTAAATATACAGAGTGGCAAAAAAGTCGCGTATAATACCTGTAACTTTCTAATTACCTCGTATACGAAAAAGTGACCTTAATGAAAGTTGCTCAGTAAATTAGGGACATAAAGCTTCCGTATTTTTTGCTCGGTATCCGTATCGGTATCGTACTGCGCATGTGCAGAAGCGATACGGAGGCCGAGATACCGTACGTACAACGTGACGTTACGGCCCTCTCGCGGTATCCGTATCGGTAACGTATCTTGACATTCCTGACGCATGTGTCAAATTTCAAATGAATATAACCTCCCTTTTCTTCCGGGTTGATTTAATTTGTTTAGTTTATACTTTCTTGAGTTTCTTGTGTTTAGTGCTTCTCTATCGCAAAAAAATAACAATTTTAAGGTTAGATATAAAAACGCCGAAGTTTTGAGACAAAAATGTCTAGGTTATGAAATGCGTTTACGTTTACCGGAACAGGGAGCGCTTTAACAGCCTTTTCGCTTGTCAACGTATCTAGTTGCGTTACGGATACCGATACCGATGAATTATTTCAAGTAGCTTTATGTTCCTAATATTTCCCACAATTCTACTTAAACGTATTGCCTGTGTCACTTCTGGTTTGTTTGCTATCTAGACCAACTTTCTTTTTTTCAAATAAAACACCCTGTATGTGATTGCATAATTGGATTCTACGTAAAATTCTGAGCAGATTTCATGTGATATACCCTATACCTAAGTTCAACTGTTTTGGAAATATTGACAGTTGAACATTGACTTTTTGCAACTTTGACAGGGTGTAAAACCTGAACGGTTAATTTCAGAGGAAAACCGATTTCACATTCCTATCTTAGATTTTCATAAACTATCATTTGACATCAACATTTAATTTAATCGGAGATTAAATTTAATTGGAATTATCAATTATAGATTAAATTCAAAGTTGGTGCGGATTTACACCATCCGCAGTCGATTCGCTCCCAGCTCGCTGCTGCCAAACGTATTTAAAAGTATTAAAAATTTGGAAAAATAGCAAAAACCATATGGAATTTCATGTTGGATAATGCTTGATGAATATGTTTGTGTTTTCGTTAAAAATTTCGTTGTTGCGTCGCTCAATAGGGGGGGGGGCGCGCGCCCCCCGCGCCCCCCCTCTAAATCCGCCACTGTGTGCACTAAGTTCTCTTTAGGGCGGGTATCATAAAACTGCTTTGACAGTTAACTTGAAGTTAACTTTTTGAATTACATGTAATTTCAGAAGTTAACTTTAAGTTAACTCTCAAAGTAGTTTTATAATACCCGCCCTTAGTCTCTATTTCCATGCCCAAGAAATGTTTAATGTTCCCAAGATTTCTGGCGGAAAACTCTTCTTGTAAAGCTTTTAATCACTGTTGGGTCCTGTTAAAATGATGTCATCCATCCACAGTTATAACCAGACTTTTTCGCCTATACATATTTAAGCAAAAGTCATATCTTGAACGTTTCAAGTTATTTTTTTGTGCAAAATTTTTGAAGGTTTCATTCCAGGCTCTCGGGACTTCACGTAGACCGTAAAGTGCCTTTGTTAACTTTGGCACATTATGATTTTTGTTGAGATTTTTTTTCGACTTTTACTCCTTCTGGAATTTTCAGGTACACATCTATGTTTAGCTTTCCATGCAAAAATGCAGTAGGTATATTCAATTGTTTGATATGCCATTTATTTTGTAAAGCCTGTACAATGAACATTCTAATTGTTGAATATCTTTTGTTGTAGTTAAAATCTTCCTGGTACCCTTTCGCCACAAGCCTCGCCTTCTTAACACCATAGGGTTTAATTTTAAATAACCAACGTGTATCTATTGCTTTTTTTCCTTCTGGTAGTTTTGCCTGTTCCTATGTTTTGTCCTTTTCAAGAGCTGATATTCCACTTTGTACCTATCGCTTGTTTCCAACCATCACTTGACATTGTTTCGTTATAGGTCTCTGGTTCTTGTTCTTTTGCACTTAATAAGCAATAGGCTGTATAAAGCTCATAGTCACCAAATCGTTCTGGAATTTTCACTTATCTCTTATTTTTTCTATCATTTCTGATCACATTGTTTTCATTTTTTATTTCTTGGTCTTTTTGTGGGTCTTGCTGTTCATCTCCTTCATTATCTTTTACCTACTTCTGTCTCTACTTTGTTCTCGACAACCTCTACTATGTCATACATAACATCATTTTCTCACATCTCTTAATATTATAATCTCATCATTCTCTGGATCCCATAGTCCTTTTTTTATAGTAAGGGTTGGAAATGCACGCCTAGGGCATTGGTGTTCTGGCGCCCTAGGGAGTGTGGGACTCTCACCCACGAAAACCCTTCCCCTACTCTTCCTGGAACCGCCGTTAAGCATTATTTCAGAGAATTCAGTTCGCTAGCCTATCTGAGTCTCTATTTCTCTCTCCTTAATTTCCTTACGGTTTATTATATTTCTAAGCATTTGCATGATTGCATCCCAAGTCTCCCCTCCCTCCAAAAGCATTTCTCTAATATTTTCCTTGCTTTCTTGCTTTATCTCTCAGGTTTTCGAACACCCCGCACTCAAAAATTGTATGCTCTGGGGTATCCTGATGTCCGTTTCTGTTTTGCCTATTTGTTTCAGGTAGATCCCGTAGACTCCATGTCCCGTCATTGCCTGTATGGTTCGATAATCTATCTCGCCTCCGTTCCTGCTGATCCATCTCGGTATATCCTTTATAACATTTTTATCCCAGTCATCATATGATTCCCACCTTGCCTGCCAGTCTGTGATCAGCTGGTCTCTTGCGCCCCCTTGCTTTCCCTTTCTTCGTTGTGTATAAAACATCTGTCCCTTATTGCCAGGTTTATCGGGGCTAGCGACGCCTCCGCCATTCTTCTGTTCACCCTTTCTAATATGTTCAGGTATTTTTTGTACCTTATTCCGTACTTCAAATTGGTGCAGCGTACAGGACTGCTGAGATTACAGCTCTGGCCAGTATTCGCCTTTTGTTGCTTTTTGGCCCTCCCAATTTTGGCATTACTCTTATCAGCAAGTTTATCATCCTGTTTGCTTTTTCCGCTGTCTGAACTATGTGTTGTCATTCTCAGGTCCTTGTCCAGGTGTACACCCAGATACTTCACTGCCCTTTGAATATGTATTGTTGTCTGAGGTTGTACCATCCAGTTATATTTCGGTCTCGTAGAATATGTTCCACTGTAAGGGTCCGAGGATGGATCCTTGGGGAACCCCACATATCATATCGTGTTGGACATCGTTTGGCTTAGTTATTTTCCTCTCCGACAGATAAGAGTATACTATCGTAGTCAAATACGTGCTGATTCCTCCGTCTGCCATGGCCTTTTTAATGCCTTCCCATGGTGCAGTATTGAAAGCATTCTGCATGTCTTATCATTACACAGAATTTTTCACCGCTCTGCTACTCTGCTATTTATTTGCTCCCATATTTCTCTAACACACCTGTGAGCGTCCAAGGTGGATTTCCCTTTTCTGAAACAATACTGGTTTTGTCTAATCATGTTTTTCTCTTGGGCCTCCTCTACGAGCCTGTTTCGGATGAGTATTTCCAGAAGTTTTCCTGCCGTATCTGTTAGACAAAGTGGTCTGTAGGAACTTGATTCATTGCTTTCCTTTTTTGGCTCTTCTATAAGTATCAATCTGGCAGTCTTCCAGATCACCGGAAAGACTCCGCTTAAGCACACATTGTATACTTGCAAAAACACTTCTGGGTTCACTTTAACACACATGCTATTATCTGGTCTCAGGGCCGGATCCCATTGTAACCATTCATGCTATATCTAACTAGTCTAACTTGTTTTGCTCTCGTGTCTAATTTGACTCCGGAGTTTGGCATCTTTAAAGCCTACGCTTTACTTTCAAACACCCTTAAATTACTTAAATCCATAATATATATTCGAAGGAATATCACCTGACCCTGACAGGGCACTGGTTGGTGAACGATTAAGCTGATATGCTGCACTTCTTATAGCTTCACCCCACAAATATTTTGGTAAGTTTGTCTCAGCAAACATGGTTCTGACTTTATCGAGAAGTGTTCTATTTGCCCATTCACTTACACCGCTCTGTTGACTTTTATAAGGTAGTGTGTATTCTATTACTATTCCTTTTGTTTACAAGAGTTTTTTAATTGTCATAAGGTGAATTCGCCTCCATTATCTGCACGTATCCTTGCACAATAGTATCCTTTTGCCTTTTGTTCTCTGATATAATTCATTAAGTTGAATTGTGCTTCACTTTCGTTCTTTAGTAGATATACAGTTGTGTGAGACTTCATCAATAATCACTTGATAGTATTTCTCCCCATTTTTAGTTGGGATTCTTAATGGACCAGCTATATCTGTATGTAGAAATTCTCCTATCTTTTTTGATCTTGGTAATGGCACAGTGTCAAGAGGTTTTCGAACTGCTTTACCCTCTTTACATGGAGTGCATACTTTAGATGGAACAGGTAAAGGACCCCGCAAAAACCTTATGAGAACTGGGCCTCGGTGGAATCTCATGAAATTTTGCATATTGATAGTTCTTGACCTATAGATTAAAAGTGTCCATGGGCAGAGAGTTCTAAAAATTCGCCTTTTTGAGTTATACAGTCTAGTTTTTTCTGTTACTCCAAGTAAGTTAAATGAATGTTTACCCATGAGAAGAAAGTTTAACTTACGAGCCCTAGCGAGTGGGTTGATTTTTTTCGAATGGTGGAAGCTTTATTTTCTACTGAATATAATGTTCCTTCATCAATTTAGGCTGTGGTCCGAATATAACCAAACGTTAACCAAAGTAACCGAATCAGAAGGTTACTGAAAATTCCGGTTACTTGGGGAACACGAATATGAAATAAAAAGTAACTGATAGAAATTACAGATAATCTATGGATAAAACCAACAGAACCGACATCTGATGGCGGGTAACTATTTTGACATTTGGTCAACCAGATTTCAGGAAACCGAGGTCCAACAGTAACCACTTTTCCAAAAACCAGAGTAATTTGATTACTTTCGGACCGCGAAACCACAACCCTGGTTATATTCGGACCACAGCCTTATGGCGTTTTCGATTGGTAGATCTAGTGCGGAACTAGTGCAATTTTTTCTATTTCTGTCTTTTTCCTCTACAGGTCGATCAAAAGGATGCAAATACACTCAGTGCGCCTTGAATCTACCAATCGGAAACGCCATTAGTATCAAACATGTACCTTTACTACCTGTACTTACCTCATTATTTACTCATAATTATTTTTGAACCCCTCTTAGGACGTCTATGGTTTAAAAGTCGCCATTTCTGAAATCGAATAATTTGAAACGTATTTTACTATGCATATGTCGTTCTAAAATTCACGAAGTAACTGAAAAAACTAGACTGTATAAGGTTTGAGCAATTTCACATATGAAGCAACTTCAAACGACTGCAACTCAAAAAAGCGAATTTTTAGAACTTTTTGCCCATGGACACTTTTAATCTATAGGTCAAGAACTATCAATGTGCAAAATTTCATGAGATTCCACTGATGGCGAGTCCTCATAAAGCTTCTGCGGGGTCCTATGAAATTCCAACAAAATTACATAGAATCTTAATGAAATTTCACTAAAAAGCTTTTTCAAGTACTGGTCAAATAAATGACCTAAACCTCCAGTTAGTGTCAAATTTACTGTGGCGCTTTCTTTTTCTGCTAACTTTAATTTTGCTGTGTATAACCTTCCATGTGATCTACATCCAATATTTCTACTATTTTTGCCTTGTATAACTGCTTTCTCTTTTTCAAAAATAACCTTGTGTCCTATTTTATTTATCTTCTTCACAAACAATAAATTATGGGTTAATTTAGGCACTATTAAGGCTGTCAAATTTAGGTTTGATTATTGTATTTTAAAAATAGTTTTCCTCTCTTATCTGCACTTAAAGTGTTTCCATCAGTAGCGTAACTCGACATCAGGGGGCTTCAGTACAAGATTAGGTCAGCCTGCCCGCCATTGACCCCGCCAGAGTTTTCTTTGGGTTCCACGCCTTCAAAAATAGTATATTGTGTATTTAGGTGGAAAAACGACACATTCTCGGCCGACGGTGTAAGTTGACGGGTTAGGCGCAGCCGAGGTCAGCAAACACCGAAGGCCGGGAATGTTCTTTTCCTCTGAAATAAACATACTATTTTTTCTGCGATCGCTCAGTAATGTAAAAAATGAGGAATGCTTCTGTGTTGTTCCTAAAAATCAGCAAACTTTCCCGGCCTAGGCCGGAAAAGTGATTCCCGTACTGTTATTCATCGATTCCTTAGCAACCATTGAAAATTCCAGACCCGAGACCAGAACATTGAGTTTTGTGACCTGCCAACCGGTCAAAAAGGATCAAAATAATGATATTTCTTGACAATCGCAGAAAAACATTTATTTATATTACGAATTTAATAAAATAGGTGGGAATTCATGACAAATAAGGGGCCCCGCAGTCTTGGGGGCCTCGGTGATTTGCACTGAACTGCCTTATGATAGTTATGCCGGCGGTTTCCATTGGCCACTCTAATTTTAACTTCATTTTGTAACTTTTCTACATCTGTCAAACATTTCAAAATTTTCTCTGTAACTAAGTGGTCAGTAACACCACTGTCAAGAATAAAATTATTTTCAGAATCACTAACATTTGGCATAGCTAGGTTTGCTTTTAAAACATCTGTTATAAATGAAAAATCTTCATTGACTGCTTTCTAATTCTGCAGCTTCCGAGACATATGCTTGCCTATTTGGACCTCTTCTATCACCTCTACCTCTTCTATATCCTCTGGAAAGACCTCTTTGTACATAATTTGGATGTTTTTTGTTTGTTCAATGTCTAACAAAATGTCTTGCTCTACCACATTCAAAACACTTTCGTCCTTGTACACCTTTTCCAACACTAAATGCACAATTTAGTATATCCAATTATACATTCGGCCTTGCTGTCCCGCTTCAAATGAGCAGCTTTTTCATGTGTGTTTAGACTGTTTAGGGTCTGGAACTGGTCATCTGTAACCTCTATTGCACTCTCAACATTTTCCTTATCCAACAATACCTGCACTCAAAACTTCCAGTTAGAATAATTTGTATTGGACAACTGAGGAAATGGTAAAACTGATGCAGCCATTTCCACAAGACTTGACGGCTTCAAAAAACAACAACAGCACATATCGAAAATTTTACTTTTTTTTGTTTCACCTTACCCTTCAAACTTTACACACTGGGGTAACTGGGCCTATAACCTGTTAAATATAACTGTTTTTTTGTAGCAATGAGGATATAAATTTCACTAATTTTGTTGAAAATCTATTTAATTTATTTGGTGAAGCAGCCATAAAATATTCACTCCTTGATTCTTATAACCAAAACGATACCTACCTACCATCAATAATAGGCAGATGCAGATGATATTAGAATTTAGATTAGGAGATAAACTAGATCCTAAATTTAAGACCAAGTTAAAAAGCCTCCTAGTTGACAGTTTTTGATAATTTCCAAAAGTTTATTGTCAATGTATCTAAAGTTGTTATATAGATCAAACATTTAAAGCTCCCTCATCCAATAAAAGTGTGTCGTGTATTTATTACCAATAACTCGTACAAAGACCTGAGATTCTCGCAACACTATACGTTAGCATTTTGTTTGAAATATTATATTTCTTTTTTTCGACAGCAGGTCCCCTTGAAGTAATTTTAAAACCTCGACCAACCCCCTCACTAGTTTAAGTCTAAAAAATATATAAGGAAGAAAAAGAGCACTTTTTTGTGTTACACACCACTAAAAAAAAAATTAAGTTGGTAAGTTTATTATTGCTTTAGGGGAAAAACCGTAACGTCCCACGAACCAAGCCGCAGCCAGTCAGAAAATCAGTCAAATTAAACAAAAGTAGAACTCAATTGCCTGTGGAACGTAAAGAAAACTTGGTTTGTCATTCGGTTCTGAATCAACCCAGCTGCTCAAAGTCGTCGGTGAAATTGTCGTCAGTGAAATTAGGCAGGACACTTAAGGCAAAAACCAGAAAAGAATCGTCATTGAAAAGTAAAAATGTAGCAACACAAAAATTAAAACCCCCATCAATTACTAAAAACAGAAAGATGCCCGTGCCTTTAACTTCACAAAAACTCAAGCTGGACTTGAAGACTTCTCAAGGCGAACCTCAAAAAGAAAAAGAGGATTCTGAGTTGAACTTGCGCGAAGTTTGCTTTATAAAAAACAATGAAGGTAAAGCAATGATAGCAAAATACAATAAAGAAGGCGAAGATTTCGACGACAGTCTAGTAGTGACTTGGGACGCCCCCACATCCAAAGCTACAGTATTTACCCATAAATCCAGCAGATCTTCAAGTGCGCCTCATTTTTTAGTAAACAAATTGCCTTCGGAACCAGGAACTAGCAAACAAGGCGAGTTTCGTATACACAACTTTTCTAAAAGCACGATGAAGACGAAATTTAAAAAGCAAATTTTAAGGAGGCTGGCAAGTGCTACTGAATTGGGCAAAATCGACAGGAAGTCTGTTAAAAAGAAAATACGCATTAAGTAAGGAATTTTTTGCACGGTTTGGGTTTGGAATAATTATGAAATTTGATGTCATATGTTTATTCAATCCAAACTATGCAATACTAATACACTCTTTATACCAAGTTTTGTTGCGTTTGAATACCGTAAACTTTTTGTATCAGAATTATTGTTTTTATTTAAATCTATATATTATATATAATATATTATGGAAAATTAATTTAATTTTTTTTCCATTAAATTTAATTGATAGATGAGTAATGTTTGTGTTATAATGGGCGTACTAATTGGTTCAAGGTAAGTATTTGTATTTTTAGCAAATTGATATCAAAATTTGATTGGCTAGTTTTTGTTATCTCTTTGGATTGCAGCATGATCTCTGTATATTCTACTATTTTGGGTTAGTTAGTAAATTATAATCGGCGTTCATAGAATGTGTAGAAATCATGATGCTGAATGATTGAAATTAATATAGTTTAATTTCTTCACTCTTTTGAAAATAAAACTTTCCTAAGGGTTGCAGAAAGTCTTAAGACTTTCTGCAATTGCTAGGTGTTATGGTTTAACTAATAAATTGCTTTAGGTTTTAATTATTTATTGGATAAGTAGAAAGGAGGGTCATATTTTGAAGTTACTGGTGCATGTGCAAGAGTGTCTCACTACATCTAATGTATTTAGTAGCTAATTTTTTTATTGTCACAAATTCCGCAACTTATTTTAAGCTAATAGAAATAATATCTTGTTATTATCTTGACTGCTCACTTACAAACCACGCGCTTTATATACCAAAACATTCAATTCGAGAAATCTCTAGAGAATCACTTGCTAATTTAAATCACACCCTCGAGTTTATGGATAAATTTTTCCTACAATGTCATTAGCACACACTTGTTTGTGATGTAAAAATTTATAAAAAAAAATGTTATACTATACATAGACATCTGTATGTAGTTGTTAGGTTTGGGAACTGTTGCCTGTATTAAGCAAATAATTTTTAATTAGTTAAACTTTGACCCTAATAGTTTACAGAGCCGAAAGTACTTGAAGTACAAGTACAAGTTTTTTAAAATTATACTTTGAAACTTGAAATTTACTGGAATTTCATCAAGTAATTTACTTCAAGTAAAAACATTGAGCTTCAAGTAAAGTGACATTACTTAAAGTATATTTGAAATAATTTTGGTACTTTAAATATCTGAAATCTGTTCAAAACAGTGCAAATTCTTAGTAATTTTTTTAGTTATTCACATTATAATCCGATCCTCATTCTATTCTGGTACCTTATCCGAACCTTATGTTAAAAGTATAAGGTGTTTTGGTGCTTAGTAATTTTTTATATTTTTCGTTTCAAGGTTCGCCGATCCGAATAAAATTTTGTATATCTCAATCTCAGTCTTAAAAAACAAGCGGGGCCTGATTCAAAAATAGGTACAGGGTATTTAATTATATTTAAGCCCATACCTGCAGCCTTTACTATTTAGGGCGCGGTTAGAAATAATTGCCCAGATCTTTGTTGGATATTGAGCAAATTGAAATAAATAATATATCATTGGAAAGAGCAATAAATGCTCTAGAAATTCGTGCAAAATTGAGCTTGATAGCTCCAATAGTTTTTGAACAATTGAGTCTCAAAGTTGGCTTTTAGAATTCAGAAAAAATACCCTTATGAAAACTCTATTTTTTATTTTTTAGTTTTGCTCAATTTTGACTGTACCAATCGATAGAGCGGGTCAAAATTAGTGAAAAACAACCCTGACATCATTTTCAGATGGCCATTTTAAACAGAAACAAAAATAAAAAGGAAATCGTATTTTTGTCTCTGGAAAATTTTCAAAATCTTGACATGTCTTGAGCAATTGCCCATATCTTTTTGAGTAAATTGAAATAAATGCCTTTGGAAAGAACAATAAATTCTCTATAAATCCGTGCAAAATTCAGTTTGATAACTCAAATAGTTTTTGAGTAATTCAGCCTCAAAGCTGATTTTTAGTCTAAATTTTGTCAAAAACTTTAAATTCAATTTTCTCAAAAACTATGAACCTGGGAATATTGTAAATTATTGCAGATCTTTTAGAGCTCGATAAGAGCTATAAATGCTGAAAATTTCAATGTAATTTGCTCAACGGTTATCGAGCAATTGAGATTTGAATATTTTGAAATCAGAATTTAAAGGGGGTAGGTACAGGGTGATCTATTATAAATGTAACCCCCTGCTAACTTTTTCATTTGACGTTTTTGACAGAAGTGTCAAATACAAAAGTTTCAAGAAATTGTCAAAAGTTTTTAATTAAGTCACTTTTAGGCATACAGGGTGCGTCAAAAAAGTGCAGCAGCGTGAAGTTATATTTTTTTAAATGGAACACCCTGTATATTGTGCGCTTATTTGTTAGTTCTCTTTAACCTGTTTTCAACGATATGGGGTTTGATATGTCTATCTTCAACAGTTATAGGGAAAAACATGAAAACCCCTTTTAAGGTTTCATATTGAAAAAAGGAAAATTATACCATTTAAGCTTTAAAGAATTTTTTTTATTATCAGTTTATTGTTCAAATTTTATTCATTAATATACAAGGTGAAATATTATAATAAATCCAGATGTCTAAGCTATTATTTTTATTTTTAAAAAAATAACATGAGAGACCTAGGAAGGAATTTTCGTGTTTTTCCCTATAACTATTAAAGATAAACCGAGGGATAAACATATCAAACCATATATCGTTGAAATCAGGTTAAAGGGGAGTAACAAATAGGCGCACAATATACAGGGTATTCCATTTAAAAAAATATAACTTCACACTGCTGCACTTTTTTGACGCACCCTGTATGCCTAAAACTGACTTAGTTAAAAACTTTTGACAATTTCTTGAAACTTTTGTATTTGACACTTCTGTCAAAAACGTCAAATGAAAAAGTTAGCAGGGGGTTACATTTATAATAGATCACCCTGTACCCTTATGAAAAATACGATTTTTTTATTTTCTAGTTTTGCTCTATTTTGACTCTACCAATCGATAGAGCGGGTCAACATTAGTAGAAAACAACCCTGACATCATTTTCAAATGATCATTTTAAACAGAACCAAAATAAAAAGGAAATCTTATTTTTGACTCGAGAAAATTTTCAAAATCTAGACATGGTCATGAGCAATTGCCATATCTTTGTTAAATTTTGAGCAAATTGAATTAAATTATATACCATTGGAAAGAGCATTAAATTCTCTATAAACCCGTGCGAAATTGAGTTTGATAGCTCAGAAAGCTTTTGAGTAATTGAGCCTCTAAGTTGACTTTTAGTCTAAATTTTGTCAAAAACTTTAAATTCAATTTTCTCACAAACTATAAACCTGAAAATATTGTAAATTAAAGATCTTTTGGAGCTTGATAAGAGCTAAAAATGCTGAAAATTTCAATGTAATTTGCTCAACGGTTACCGAGCAATTGAGGTTTGAATATTTTGAAATCAGAATTCAAAGGGGGTAACCTTATGAAAAATTCTACTTTTTTATTTTTCAGTTTTGCTCAATTTTGACTCTACCAATCGATAGAGCGGGTCAACATTAGTAGAAAACAACCCTGACATCATTTTCAAATGGTCATTTTAAACAGAACCAAAATAAAAAGGAAATCTTATTTTTGGCTCGAGAAAATTTTCAAAATCTTGACATGTCTTGAGCAATTGCCCATATCTTTGTCAACTTTTGAGCAAATTGAAATAAATTATATACCTTTGGAAAGAGCATTAAATTCTCTATAAATTCGTGCGAAATTGAGTTTGATAGCTCAAATAGTTTCTCAGTAATTCAGCCTGAAAGCTGACTTAGTCTAAATTTTGTCAAAAACTTCAAACTCAATTTTCTCACAAACTATAAACCTGAAAATATTGTAAACTACAGATCTTTTAGAGCTTGATAAGAGCTATAAATGCTGAAAATTTCAATGTAATTTGCTCAACGGTTACTAAGCAATTGAGGTTTGAATATTTTGAAATCAGAATTCAAAGGGGGTACCCTTATGAAAAATTCGATTTTTTTATTTTTCAGTTTTGCTCAATTTTGACTTCACCAATCAATAGACTGGGTCAAAATTAGTAAAGAACAACCCTGACATAATTTTCAAAAGGCCATTTTAAGCAAAAACAAAAATAAAAAGAAAATCTTATTTTTGGCTCTGGAAAATTTTCAAAATCTAAACATGGTCTTGAGCAATTGCCCATATCTTTGTTAAATTTTGAGCAAATGGAAATAATCTATATATCATTGGGAAGAGCAATAAATTCTCTATAAATCCGTGCAAAATTTAGTTTAATGGCTCAAATATTTTTTGAGTAATTGAGCCTCAAAGTTAATTTTTATTCTAAATTTTGGCAAAAACTTCAAACTCAATTTGCTCAAAAACTATAAACCTGGGTTGTAAATTACAAAGTTTTTAGAGCCTATTAAGACCTACGAATGCTAAAAATTTCAATGCAATTTGTTCAACGGTTACCGAGCAATTGAGGTTTGAATATTCTGAAAGCAGAATTCAAAGGGGGTTATGAAAAACTCACAATTTTTTTATTTTTCAGTTTTGCTCCATTTGACTTTACCAATCTATAGAATGTTTATTTTGAAGAAAATTGTTTCTTCCTATACCATTGGAACGAGCATTTAAATTTTGTATAAATAAAGGTATGGGCTTAAATATTAGGTAGGTAGATACTTCAAGCAAAATACTAGACATATTCAAGTGAAAATACAAGTATTTTAGAATAGATATTGGAAATACAAGTACTAGTACATTACAAAAAAAGTAATTCAAGTAAAATACTTATATGTAGGTACTTGAAATAGAATTTCAAGTAATTTACTTCAAATATTGACAGCTCTAATAGTGTACATTAGATGTAGTAGACTCAATACAAGTGGATACCTACATTAAAAAGAAAACAAAGAGTGATATAATTTTGTGATTTTTATTGAAAAAAAGCTATGTTTTGTTTTGCCTATAACGTCAGTTGAATAAATAAAATTGTATTTGAAAAAACAATACTATGTTTTATTTAAATTCCTCAACCGTTTTTTTTTAGGAATCAACAGGAAGTATTTAAATCAAACACTAACAATTTATTTAATTAGTAAACTTTTTATTATATAAATTAATAAAAATTGCACGTATTCTTACAAAGGCACCATAGGTTATCACAAAGTGGTATATAAGTTTTATTTGCTTGGAATTTCGATCAGTCTAAATAGCGATTTTCAATGTAATGCAAAAATGTTAATCATATTAACACTTGTGTTCTAAACAAAATGTATGTTAAATTACTCAGTAAAGTCTTAAGATTAAATCAATATACAAAAATTTAACTCTACAAATAAAAATAATACTAATAAGTTAATCATAGTAGGCAGTACGAGTATAAAATCACTGTTTATAGTATAGAAATATACTCATTTATATGATTATACTTAATATAGGAATGTTTTGATCCTGATGGGCATTTTCAAAATTACACCTCTTGAGATTCTATTGTAGTGTATTGCACCTTCCTGGTTATAGCTTCCAATACAGGCGACAATTTCGTCTTGACACTGTCTTTTTTAAGATACACATAAGCTGTAATAAGTGTTAACAAAATACACACTAAAACCACAAGTAATACCATCAAGGCTTTGGAAAATTTGGCATGTTTAGATTCAGTTAAGCTTTTCAAGTTCAATATTTTACCAAACTTCACGTTCCAACAAGTTAGGGCATCTTCATTTCGAATTTTGACATCGGTTTTTTGGCTCCAAGCGTACAAATTTTTAGAATTTGCGTCGCATTTTATCGGATTATTGCCTATTTCCAGTGTCAAGCTTTCTGTCCGCGAAGGATCGTTGGCCAGCTTGTCGAATGTGTCTAAATCTTCTTGGGTAAACTTTGAAATGTTGTTACTTTCTAAATCCAAATACCTTAATTTTTTTAAACATAAAATATTGAAATTTAAACTGGGGATGTAGTTGTCTCCAAGATATAAATCGTGTAAATAAGGCAAATCGCAAAAAACCTTTTCGTCTTTCCATTTTTTTATTTCATTTTGCTCCAGATGTAGTTTATACAGCTTGGTCAAGTTGCTATTGACGAAAATATCATGTAAATCGTCAGCTAGCTCTTCATCAGTATTATCAGCAAACGCATTAGTCAAGTGCAATTCTTCTAAATTTTCAAAATTAGAAAACACTCTAGGATGATGAAAATTCCTATCGTCCTCTTCAGCTATGGAAATATTATTGTGATTCAACATTAATCTTCTAACACTGCCAACATGATGGAAAGTTTTGCCTTTAATTTCCGTAATACCATTATTGCTCATATCGATCACTTCTAGTGCAGTCAAATCAGCTTGCTCACCAAAAATATTCACTGGCAAAATGCTTATATGATTACCAGTAAATATAAGAACATTAGTTTTTTTCGGTAATACCATTAACATGTCACTGTTGGTGAATCCAGTGTCTGTGCAATTGACAACAAACTTTGTCGCTCGGTCAATGTATTGGTTGCCACATACGCATAACTCTAGTAATTTGTCTTCGCAATTGTTGATTCTTGCCTTTGCTGTGAATAGTATTGAGGCTACGATTAGGAATTTTGTTGCTTGAGACATCATGCTGAAAAAAAATAAAGTCAGTTGAGGAGTACTCAATAATTATATATTGTTTCTTCAACAGATTAATTATTTATGACCATCGATGATGAATATTCAAATGATTTGAATGCCCACCTATGTGCAGTATAAATAGACATTATCCGATTACTCCTGAAATTACTTGAATTTGTCCTTGTAAACAATTTTGAAAAATCTTCAGTAATATTCCAACTACCTATATAAAGTTCACTTACATTTTTATAAACAAAGATAACCCTAATTAAACACTACAAGATGCAACACAGATTGAAACTTTAATCTTGCATCAAATAAATGTTAATTTTTGGCATTGAGGTGAGAGAAGGTTTCATGATGTATTTTAAAAAGAACTTCGCGGTAAAGTGTATAGTAATGGAAATTCCGAATTAGGAAATCCCATAGTACCAGCAGGCAGTCATAATTAGATGCTTATTAAGTAGCTTTAATGATACTTAAACAAAACAAATAGATACTCATATACCTATCTTATTACAAAAACGGTATCGACTTACCTGGCGCAATTCAAGTACATAACTAGTAAATGTTCAAAGGAATATTTTACAACTAAATATAAAATGTTGTTTATTGAAGTTCTTAAATTGATATTTAATTAGTTAAGTTGAATTCATTGTGCCTGCGGTTGACTTTGTGACCCTGTTCAAGCAGTACGTGCAGGTAGAAAAGCTGATGAACAAAACAGCAAACAGGTGTGTCGAGGTGGGATGAGTTAATCTGGTTGCGGATGTTTAGGAATCAAGAATTGAAAGATCGGCTCGAAGGACCATAATTTTTATTATCCAATTGGGTATTTGAGAAAAAAATTAATTGATGGTGGTGTGGTGGCCCAAATAATAGAGAATGGAAACGTCTCAATATATGCGAAAGTATTATTGGGAATTTCTTTAATAGCAAGACGGCATTTTTTCGGGTTGTAAATTGTAATGCCTATTAAGTTGAGCAACGTTCGGAAATAAGGCTTTAATTCAACAAAAACTGTACAGAGCTTTTTGACAAATTAAACTAGACAGAACTACAAAGAATATAAAGTTTTCCCCGTCTTTTAATTCTGAACATAATTTTCTAAATAGGTACTTCGGAGGTCTTCGAAATATTGTAGTTTTTTTCACTTCAGACTTGATGATTTGAAATGATGTAATCTCTTCAGTCTGATATGATGCATCTTGATGATTCCTCAGTTTGAAGTAGAGTGATTCTCTAAATTTGAGTTTTGCAAATGATGATCATCCCAGCTTGTTATAGCTTTTCCAAATATCGATTTTCTTGGATGATCTTCTAATGTTTTTTTATTACCTATCTAGCTTAAATATCACCCAACTATCAGGGTATAGTTAGGTACTGAAACTTTATTGGGAGATTTAAGTAATTTTTTTTTGGAAATCCAAAACATAAACTACCTAAGTGGAAGTACTATAAAGTCCCTACTTTTCAGGCACAGTTTCAAACGTTGAAACATTTGCTGGAAATTAAAATAATTGAAGTTATTGGAGAAAGACTTCAAATACAGGGTATTCCAGCCGAAACTGAAACTATAATATCCTCGTAACTAATGGTTGGCACCATTGTTTTCGATTACCGAATAAAGGTTTTGGTCCGTGATAGAAATCTTTTTCAGCATTATACCGAGTAATAATAAAAAACTAAATTTTTATAACTCCAAAAAACTGAGTTTTGTCAAATTGAATACCCACATAATATATTTTCACATCGTGAAAAAGCTTTTTCTCAAGCTTCTCAATAATAAATAGTTTGATGCTTTTATTTCTAAAACGAAGCCACTTTATTTCGTTTCGGAGATACTGGGTAAAATAGAAATTTTGGACTTTTTCGGGTGATATCATATTTCGGACACCCTCTATAAGATAGAGAAAAGGTGGAAACTGCTATTTTAGATGGATATTTTTACGTAGAATCCCAGTGTTGTAGTGATTTTTTTTTTCAAACAAACCGTTTTTAAGATATTAGGCAATTCAATCCATCTGTCAAGAAGGAAAATTCAATGTGGCGTGCCGGCCAAGCAAGTTTGTTTTGAATATGTTTTTATGCGTATTTTAAATTATTTTGCATACAGTTTTGCTTACAACTTTGATTTTCATTGTTTAATAAAATATTTGTTGACTAGGTACCTGAACTATTAATTCGGGCAGAAACTAGATATTTTTTTTTGTGTTTTTTGGCCCATGTGTGGCCGCCACGCCATCTTGAATGTCACGTGGTTTGAATTGCCTAATAGACCAACCTCTAGTATTTCTTAATACCTAGACACCCTGTATTTTTTGGTCCCAAAAAATTCTCCTTTTTGAAGTGAAACTTGGGGGCGGTCTGATATTTGGAAGAGTGATTTAAAAAACGCGTCACGGGCAATTTTCGTTACTCGAGAGAGAAGAAAGGTATAAGGTATAACGAAAGTAAAAAGACGGAGCAAGATACCCAGGCGGCTAAGCCCCCCCAAATCTGGAATTAGCCCCCCCAAATTTAAATTAGTGATAAGTGACAAAAGTTCGCAGTCCCTGAATAAAAAATATTCAAGCGTTAGGATTAATTAACTACATAATTTCATTAATTTCACTGATTTATTACCTTCATCCCCTTTACCCCCACCGCTAGGGACAGGGTTGCCTCTGTTGCCAGTAGGTGTGTGTAATAAGTAGGAGCAGCTTTTTTTTATCTTCCAAATCTAGGGTGGCGTAAGCATCTCCATTTCTCAGATGGACCTTTCTTAGCCCAAAGTCAATTATCGCGTTATTTTTCAACAGGAAATCCGTGCCTAAAATTAAGAGTTTCAGGAGCTTTTCTACTACTAATGGCTCTATATATCCTGCTATCTTCCCTATTGTGAGTTTAGCCTCCGAGATCCTCAAGAGGGAAATTCTATTGTCACCTACGGTCACCAAAGAGATCCCCTCATTTGACGGTATGATTTTGTCAATCAACGATTTTTCAATTATACATCGACTTGATCCAGTCTCTAAGACTATTCTACGTTAGGCCGGTTATTCACCAGCCCCCTTATCTTTAAAATTTTATGTGCAGCCCCTATGTGCAGGGAAAAAAAACTCTTCGTTGTTGGCCGTAATTTTGGAACGTCTTGTCGCATTTATAATGTCCGTTTTCACCGCAATCTCGACATCTTGGTCTGCCATCGTGGTTTCTTGTTTCTGGGGCTTGTCTATTCTTTTGGTGGTAGTTTGGGTTGTAGCTCCTTTGGTATCAGTCCCGATCGTTTGATCTGTCTCTGTGGTATCCCCTATTTTTATTGTAGGGTCTTCTTGGTTCGTACTCTTTTTTGTACCCATAACTTCCCTCTAAACTTTTAGAATTTCTGTCGTTATGTTCATAATTTCTTCCGGGGTTTTTTGTGTTCCAGCCGTGCCTTTAAAATCGCTCGAATAACCGCCCTTTCGCTCGTCCAATGTTAGTAGGCTAGGCTGATTTGATCAGGCATTTGTTGTATCAAAGTGCGTTCCTTTACCCCACTCAATTTCAGAACCAATGTTCTCAACTTGGCGTGGTCCAACGTTTCTGAACTCATGAGGTAGTAAGTTTCCTAGGGAGTGGAGGGCATTTTAGGGTTTATCTCATAAGCTAGGGCGTTTAATTCGAAGTAGAAGTGCTTGATATCCTCGTTTTCCTGTTGTCTTCTCGTATTCAACCTGAACTTCAATTTTCTTAGCGGTTGTCCCCCGCTAAACTCCTTCGAGAAGTCTGTTTTTATATTTTCCCATGTTCGGTTTTGATTTCCCTGGCTTGATTTATATGCTGAAATCCAGCTATTTGCGGAGCCTTTCAAGAAACATCCAAAAAAAGATATTTTGAAGGAGTCGGACCAGTCACTCAGGGCGGCTGCTCTTTCATATTTGCTCAGATAATTAATTGGGGAATCTAAACTTGGGTTGAAAGTCGGTGGCTCCAAGAATTTAGGGGTTGCGGGACTTTTATCTTCTAACGAAGCGTCCTGGATTGTTGTGTTTGGCATTTTCCGGTTTCTTCCTGACTTCGGATTCATCAATATATCGGACTTCTGTGATTTGCTCTTTAACTCCTGGTCTGGATGAGTTGCATCGATTTTTTCAACCGATACGTTGGCTGTTTTGAGACTATCACTGTTGAGTCTCGCTGGGAAAAAGGTCTTCACTGTCTCTTGCTGATTACTGGATTCAACTTCTACGAATATTTTATGCTCGGAATTTTTACTCGGTGGGCTTCTGACTAAAGTAAATGATGGGGTGAGAGTGCCAACTACCGTGCTTCGGTGTGTAGGGTTGAAATTAATTTTCTCGATGCTATCGCCTCTCTCCTATTTTTCCAAATGCGATCTTGCTTTACTACGTGTCACTCTGTCTGCATCACTTCCACTCATTACCATTAGCAATGAATTAAAAGGTCTCTTCTGTCCGGACTTATTCTTCTTAGTAATGTATGGTAAGACCTTTTAAGACGATATGAGGTCCAAAAGAAATAAATGCAACCGCAAAAAATGTTATCAATCGGGGGAATTATATAGAAATGCAGCTCAAAAATATTTGAATTTCCCAAAACAAAAAAAAAAATAAAAAATACTAAGATTGTACTGGCACTTTTTGATTCACGTAGCACCCAAGAAAAATTGTACAAAATAATTACACCAAATAGGATGATTTGGCGAAAGGGAAAGAACACGGCACCTCCACCACCTGCGGTGAGCGACCTCGGAGCAGGGGCTTCAGCCCCCCCAGCACTGATGGGCTAGAACCGCCTATGAAGATACCTATTGATTGACTCTAACCAAGGATTATAAGCTCAAAGAGGATTGCCTATTATTGACAAGCGCCGATACCCTTGTTACATCACTACAGATGCGCGTCTTCCTTTTGTTAAACTATTATCGTTGTGGTTTGTGACTATTTTCGTTATTTATGTGTGCTGTGATTTTTTTTGATTATATATTGTGAACCGTCATTATGTAATAGTCAACCATCCAAGGACCTTTTTTTTCAGTTATACATGTAAACCCCATACTTTGTGAGTGGCTTGCTTACATCAAGTCCTACAACTTTTCCTCTACGACTTTTCTCGGAAATGGCACGTATGCGCGCAGGCGACTCGCAAACATTTAAGGGGTATCGGACTCCCCCAATTTGCCATTATTTTTGTCGGCCAAGTTGATTTCCGTGATTTAGAAAGAAAAATCAAACATTATTCGTGAAATTAGATTTTCATGTATCAAGAAACATAACCACGTCAGATCGACATTTTGGGGGTATCGGACTCCCCCAATTTGCCATTATTTTTGTCGGCCAAGTTGATTTCCGTGATTTAGACATAAAAATCAAACAGTATTCGTAAAATTAGATTTACCTACATGTATCAAGAAACATAGCTACGTCAGATCGACATGTTTGCGAGTCGCCTGCGCGCAAACGTGCCATTTCCGAGAAAAGTCGTAGAGGAAAAGTTGTAGGACTTGATGTAAGCAAGCCACTCACAAAGTATGGGGTTTACATGTATAACTGAAAAAAAAGGTCCTTGGATGGTTGACTATAAGTATAGTATGTTATAATAATTAAAATATTATCAAAATAGTACATTGTATACCTAGGTAGAGAAGTTGGTCATTGTATACCGAGCGCTTTTATATATACCTACTATAATGCGCAAGCTGTATTTTAACCGACATGAGAACCGTTCCAGAACTAGTAATTTCCAGTTGCCCAACTATTTCTTAATAAGTTGAACGTTTATCTATGCGTTTATCCCACTTGACAAATTGATTGATCGACTATGGAAATTACCATTCTACCATAGAATAGTTCTCATGTCGAATCGGTTGGAAGTGGAACAGAGCTAAATGACTTTCTCTACCGATTAATATACAAGGTGTCCCACCGGGAACCAAATGGATCTATATATGAAAACAGTATGCAGAAAAAATTTGAAAATTTGACAGTATGTACTAATCCAGGTATTCTTTCGATCTGAACAAACTGATGGCGATTTCCATTTGTCAATCAATGCGCACCAATTGGAATCGCCCTTTGCCTATCTACTCAATTCATATATTTGCGGCCAACATTAGAGTGAGAGAAAAAAAGAGATCCGTGAGATTTTCCTGCCCTCACTAGCGCTATCTCATTCTGGAATCAATTCAATAATGACGCAAAGCCCATTCCAAACCTTCTTTCTACTTCATTGGTGCGCACTGACTTGGCACTAAGTGTATCCGCATCTTTTTCTAAAATCATGTAAAATATAACGATAAGGATACACTTTTATAGCACTGATTCTACAAATGGAAATCGCTATGATTGTAATCACATGAGGTTTATTCTAAAATATTTTCAAGATGGGGGCACTTCCGGTTATACTGGAAGTAGACGTCAACTTGTTTATTTCAAATGAGACACCCTGTATGTGATTGCATATTTGGATTCTACGTGAAATTCTGAGCAGATTTCATGTGATATCCCTATACCTAAGTTCAACTGTTTTGGAAATATTGATGGTTGAAAATTGACTTTTTGCAAATTTGACTGGCTGTAAAACCTAAAAGGCGGTTACACACGGACGTGGATGTCTGAAAACATGTACGCACATAAAATCTGTTTTTTTTTTAAAGATAATTCCCCAAGTCAAAAATCTAGTAACTATGTTGGCAACACAAGCCTTTTCTACATAAAAAATTTGAAAGCATTGACAATTTTACATTGTATTGCCAACATAATGTCATTTTGACTTTTATCTTAAAAAAAAACAGACTTTACATGAACGCGCAAACAAAAACATGTATGCAAAATATCGTCGCGTTTTTGAATGTGCAATTTTGTATGCACACTCGGAATACTGTAGCAAGAATAGCAAGACTGCAGTTTTGTGCGAGCGTCTGTACAAAATCACCATGCACGTTGTTTTCTGCACGTTGATGTATGCACGTATATGTATTAAGACATCCACGTCCGTGTGTAACCGCCTAAAAGGTTTAATTTTAGGAGAAAACCGATGAAGACCTATGAAGATTGAAGATACAGGAACCTGTTTTTTTTTTTTTAATTGACAGTCTGAAATTGAAATTAAACCAATAGAAACGAGCCAATTTTAAGCGATTGAGCGATCGGTCATCTTGACAGATAAACCATTAATTAAGCGGCGTTTCATAGTCACGTGATCACAGAGTGAAAAGAGTAAAATGGTTAAGTCGAACGCATCAGGGAGCAAGGGACAAAAATACTTTCTACTCTATGCGTTCTATTTTTTTTCTATTAGCATTTTTTCATCACAAACCGGAACATGTGTTTTTGCCTTTGAATATAAAACTACAGGAAGGAGCATAACTTCGAATCTGCGCGACCAAAATATGTGGAGGTTGCATATGGCCGACTAGTATTTCCGGTTTGGCAGTGGCGTATATTTATTTAAATATGATTGTCAATATTATGACTCACTCTTTTCTCACTAATTCCATTACTTATTATCACTTAAAACCGCTAAAATCCATTAAACATCCACTTGAATGAGGACACAGCGAACCACCAAAACAAATGATGAGTCTATACTTGGAGGCTCAAAATGGCCGTTTCCGTCCCTGCGTTGTCTGTAGTGACAGATAGAAAACACGCTCCTTCCTGTAGTTTTATATTCAAAGGTTTTTGCCGATATTTTGGGGAGCGACGCCATTTTTTCTACCAGGGTCCTTATCCTTATTCTTGAAACAGGTAAGTATTCCTATTGGTTCAATATTTTGGCGCCAAAATATTGGACTAATAGGAATACTCCCGGATCAACGGATTGACGGAAAAACGGATGCATGAAAAGTAAGCTTAAGGGAGGATTTTCATGCATCCGTTTTTCCGTCGAAATATGTCCGAAAAGTCTTCTATTTTGACATATTTATATACGATTATGTCAGAATAGAATGTTTTTCGGACATATTTCGTCGGAAAAACGGATGCATGAAAATCCTCCCTAAAGCTTAGTACTCATAACTGCGAAATTCGCATTTTTTCGACACTGCGTTGACAATTTGACGTTTTATGCTTGTATCAAACGGCAACTTGTCGAAGCGATGTCAATAAAATGCGAATTTCGCAGTTATGAGTACTAGGCTTAAGGGTGGATTTTCATGCATCCGTTTGTCCGACGAAAGATGTCCGAAAAATATTCTATTCTGACATAATCGTATAAAAATATGTCAAAATAGAAGATTTTTCGGACATACTTCGTCGGAAAAACGGATGCATGAAAATCCTCCCTAAAGCTTAGTTACTCATAACTGCGAAATTCGCATTTTTTCGACACTGCGTTGACAATTTGACGTTTTATGCTTGTATCAAACGTCAACTTGTCGAAGCGATGTCAATAAAATGCGAATTTCGCAGTTATGAGTACTAGGCTTTAGGGTGGATTTTCATGCATCCGCTTGTCCGACGAAAGATGTCCGAAAAATATTCTATTCTGACATAATCGTATAAAAATATGTCAAAATAGAAGATTTTTTGGACATATTTCGTCGGACAAACGGATGCATGAAAATCCACCCTAACTCTTTTCACTCTACTTGGCTGTTACCCGACCGATAAGGAGCTTGTACTATTTGCTCCCAGTGGCGTGATCCGAACGATTTTGCAGTGAAAAGGGTCAAAGAAGTCAACAGAGTTGCCAAGCCGAACTCACCTATGGTTTACTATTTTACGTGTTTATTTACACGTAAAGCAAGGATAATACACACTAATACTACAGGATGGCCTATTCTCATAAGGCTCGCGTGTAACAACTCGTCTCCTTCCCCCTAAAACTAAAATACCAGTTGTGACGTAGGCAGCGTACAGTTACTTGTTACTCTACTACTCCATGGGGCGCGTTCTCGAACAGATTCATTGAAAAGAGTACTTTTTACTTCTTCTTCCATGCCCCCTGGGAGCAGTTGCCAAATAACCAGTCAGAGAAAAAGAAGAGTATAAAATGGAGATGGAGAAAATAAAATAAAATTCCAGTCAGTTATAAAAATATAATAAAGTTTTTTAAAGTTGTTATAATTAGCCAAAGAGAAGATAATATTCTGTACAAAATTGTCCAGTAAGTATGCATTTATAATTATCAAAACATTGAAAAATTTGAACGCAAACAATTTTCGTTGCGAATTGGTCACTTCCGCCTCAAACAGGAAACTCCAAATTCAAATTTTGAAAATAAACAATTTTTCAAACAATCATTTTCGATTGAAAAAAAAAAATAGGGAAAACCTGCTAGAATTAGAATGAATTTCCTTTTACTGCTTTTAAAAAGTTTACAGCTAACCGTTAACCTAACTTTGTTACTGAATTTTTATGCTTTTAACGATTTTAGAGAACATGAAAAAATTCTTGGACGGTAGGACAAAGCCTGTTAAATACATACTAACATCGGATAATAAGCTGCAGCAACTTACAAGTTTAGCGGTAAGAATAATACATTATTGCTCGCATTATTGTGCCAAAACTATACAGGAACTTATCTTGTAAAGTAACTACAGTGAAACTTCGCTAACTCGAATCTTCAAGGGACAGGAAGTCGAGTTCGAGTTACGGAAAATTCGATTTATTTATTTATTTTTTTATTTATTTATTTAACGGAATATCCATTACATACATGGTAGGCATTTACAATATTAATTCGAGTACAAAATACAATTAATACAATAAGTAGTACTCCTAAACCGTGACCCAGATAGGCGCACCACAACAGTTGGGTAGGTATTACAATCTACAATCATTCAGATTCAAGTCAGAATTAAATTGACCATACAACAATAAGTAGGTAATATTCAACTTACAGAAATTGGAAATTCGACAAGGTGAAAATTTATTTGTTTCTGAAAAAAAAAGAATATTTCGAGTTTGGGAAGTTCGAGTTAGAGAAGTTTCACTGTATTTAAAATATTCCTAGATATAAGTATCTCACAGAAATCACAAACCAGTCATTTCATTGGTTGGAAATAGTCAGGAAACTGGTTGTTGGCGATTTACACCAATCAGAAACAATCTGGGCTGGTATTCTCGTTCTCGAAAATGCTCACTGCTTTTAAGTCGCTCGGCATTTCTAATGTAAATTCAAATTAAAATTGCCTAGCGACTAGGAAGCAGTTAGCGTTTTCAGAAACGAGAATACCGGTCTTGACTGGTTTGTGATTTCTGTGAGAACAGACTTTTCGACTCTACACAGCAACCAATTTCACAACTGTTATATGAACAAAAATAGTGCTATTTTAAAGTATAGGTACCTGGTACCTACCACCAGAATCTTATAACACTTCACTTATTTCTGGCCATGCCCAAATGGGACACCATAAATTTTCCGTTATCCCTAATTAATTAAGAGCTCTATTTTTGAGATTGAGTTTGTAAGATGGACATTTTTTGAGCTATAGGTCTCACAAAGATATTCAGCAACAGCTCAACTATCAGGATTTCTCAGCTTTATCAGGAATGCTTCAAGTGCAGGAATGTCCTTTATACTGTAAAGACCTCTTCCATAAATTTCACAAAAAGTTTTTCCAATTTAATTCTCAACAGATCATCTTGAAACCTCTGAATAATATAGGTTTTGTATATCCTCATTATCTTATCTACTGTGGTTCCTACAAGGTTTCCTATTTATTTACCTATTATGTTGTATGTTTTCAGTTATTGTCAGAATAATTTGTACTGAATTTTAGCTTATTAAAGCCCTAAATTTTCCAAAAATTATGGAACATAATATGTTTGTCTGTCCAAAAGTGCAGAATGCCACATAAACATTTACACAACAAAAAAACTATTCTATTAATTTCTCAGGATTTTACTATGGAATCAAAGGAAATCCCCATGTTAGGCATGAGATCTGAACTACTTTGTAAAGCATCAAAAGAGTTGCTGAATGCTGCTAGCGACGGCGACCTAGATCTAGTTAAAAAAATAGTGCAGGATGGAAATGGATCGATGTTTCCTACTGATTGTGTAAGCAATTTTATAGAATCAAAAATCAAATCCTCACAGTTTTTTTTCAGTTGGGTACAAGTCCTCTTCATTTGGCAGCACAATATAATCACATTCAGATTTGTCAGTATCTTCTTCAATGTGGCTTCGTCAAAGATTTGAAAAATAAATTAGACAAGACCCCTTTGCATTTGGCTGCCTTTGTAGGAAACTACAAAATTGTTGAAATATTTATCGGTGTTGGGGCGAATGTCAATTGTCAAGATATGGTTTGTAATGACTCGAAAATAATCTATGATTTCTTCAAAAAAAAATATATAATTTCAGCTACATATGACTCCATTGCATTGGGCAGTACAATACCGGCATACAGAAATAGTAGAACTTTTACTGAAAAGTGGCGCCTCAACCGAATTCAAAAACAAATTTGGGCTTACTCCGCATGATATTGCTGTACAAATTAATAAAAGAGAAATAATCGAGTTATTACAAGGTAATAATTAAGTACTCATTTGAAAATTATAAAATTTTAAAACGTATTTTTTTCTAACAGCGCATCTGCTAGTGATACAACTTGATACTGAAAATCAGAATCTGCAAAAAGTGATAGAGAATGAGGATCATGAAACGGATCAAATAGGTAAGGATAAATAAAATAAATGTATAAAAAAATAATTTTTATACATACTTTACAGAGGTAATTGATGCAAATAATGATTGTCAGATAGATAACCAACAAAATATTAATAATGGTAAGTACGGATTGTCCCTTAAAATAATAAATATTTATGTATATTATATCATGTTTAAGAGACACAAAAAGTGTTTGCTATTTGTTTGAATTCGTCACCCTTCTTAGGCTTTATTTTTCCTGGAGATCCAAATCATCTAGGCAAATTGGCTTAGTTATGGATTGAAATTCGGTAAAGAACTATAATATGTATAATATCAAAAAATCCTTTTTCAAGCACTGTTTTAAAGGGAATTTCCAAAATTCTTATAAGTGATGCCGCGAGACTCGAGCACAGCTTAAGACTGGTCTCGTCTCGACTTTTCGAGACGAGACTGGCTTTCGGTCTCGTCTCGCGAAGTTTCGATGAGACTCGGCGAGAGTCTCGTGTAGTCTCGAGATTACACTTAAAATTTTTCTTTCATAGCTTTATTATTGGACTATTCTGGGTTATTTGAATATGAAATTAGTAGATTAAATATCAGGGTTACTCTTTACTGTGATTTTTCACTAATTGCTTTTTCACTGTGGCAGTTTGGACTTCCATTATAATATAAAAACAAAAAACATAAATACAGGATGTCCGAGAAATAGCGTAAAAACTCTCCACGTAGTAGAGGACCCTTTGAGAAACTCTAGAAAAATAATTAAATTCAAAAAATCCTTCTCCAGCATTATTCTTGGTAATATGAAGAGGTAGATGTGAAAATTCACCTTCGAATTCTTCAGGTAGTTACATGGGTATTTAATTTAATTCTCCGACATATTGTCAACGGGATATTTTAAGTGTTGCCATTTTTATAAATATTAAAATGCAAATAACTTTCTTAAGAATGCCACTAGATTTTTTAAAGTATTTTTCTGGGGTTCCTTGTAGGGTCCTCCACCACGTAGAGAAGAGTTTTTTACGCTATTTTTTGGACACTCTTATAACTCGAGACCACTCAAGACGAGACGAGACTTTGGTACTCGAGACCAACACTAAATCACGGTCTCGTCTCGAGATGTCGAGACGAGACGAGACCAACCCTAAGTCTCGTCTAGTCTCGTCTCGCGTCACCACTAATACTTATTGAAATTTGAGTAATAAAAATACTGATATTGGTTTTTTGGGAGTTCTGTTTCTAAAAAAAACTATTGAGGTAGCTTGTGGTAGTAATAAAACAACTGTTTCTTCAGTGTGCTTCAATACACTTCTTTAATATGGAAATAGAGAATGGAGCTAAAATGTGCTGCTCTAGATTTTACAAAAACTAATGACAAACAAAGAAAGAAACTAACAAACTGAAGATAGGGATGGTACTACCAGATATTTTGACAATGATTTTTTCAATAATACAACTGCTCACAGTTCTAATTCTCAGACAACAAATGGATAGAGTTTTGAATTGTCAGATCATCATTTCAAATAAGTTGAAACCTTTTCTTATTTTGTTTCTGATTGAACCATAGATTATATTGAGGAATTATTGCTCTTATTTTCTTAATTCTCCGAGTGTTGAAAATCCAACTTCAGATCAAAACATTGAAGATTCTTTTGAGAAATGGTTGAGTGAGGTTTTTGAGAATAAATTAAAAAAAAGAGTGTTTCTTAAGGGGTAAAAACAGATATTTTTCTCAACTTCACATTTTAGTCAAATATTTCCTTAAAAATCAACATAATTTAATGTTGTATTTTTTTTTTTTTAGAACCAATGATCGTAAATTTATGTGATACTGCAGACGAATACAGCCAAGATATCCAAAATAAAGGTAAGTAGATTTTTTTTTTTTTAAATAAATGATATATGAACTAGTTTTCCCTTTTTCTAGATCCAGTGATAATAGATCTAGATAATGAAAATGATGAAAAACTGCCAGTGATAACTGGAAAAAGTGAGTGGATTTTTCTTGCTTACCCCTGTTTTTTTGATGCCTTGTTTTTTTTTAAGGTAATAAGTTCACAAACTTGAAAATAGTCAATGGAGTAATCCAACCATCCGAAGAAGAATCTGACAATAGACTTTCTGCAATACAATTATTACAAGAACACGGAATAACTATGTTACAAAATGACAATGAAGAAAACAATATATTGAGTGCAGCAATGGAAAGTGGACACTCTTTTGTATTGACAGGTAAGGATAATGTAGTTTTTTCATACCATTTTTTACTGTAATATTTTTTCAGAAGTTGGAAAACAAGTATTCAAAACTGTCAAACAAAAACAAGAACATGCACCTATAGACAGAACAAACAAAATTATAACTGTAACTCCTGAACAGTTTTTAGCACTCAGTAATGGTAATCTACGGAAAAAAAATACTCAGCCCCGTCAGTTGAATTTCAATCGACAACCAGGAATATTGAGAAAAACTCGAGTGACTCCGTTCAGTAACATGATAAAAGTAATTTATAATTTTACAGGAATTTTCATGATGGTAAATTTTTGAAATTGTAGAACCAGAAACCTATCAAACCAAAAACCGAAGTACAAATACTACATGAAAAATTAAATAAAGCTTATCAAACTATAGCAGAGTACAAGATGAAATTGAAAAGTAAACAGGAAGAAGTTGATAGGTATAAATTGCAATTGAAATTGTTTGCTACTTATAGTCCAGGAGAGAGTGACATTTTGTAGCACTTATTTTCCTAGTTGGTGTATATAATAAGTAAGTTTGTTCTTTTGGTGATACAAAACAAGCATTTTTGAGTTTGGCTAGGATTTTCGGATAAGTTCACAAGATCAATTTTATTTTCCCAGACATAAATACTTCACATTTACTACAATAGATCATAAAGTATTATGAAAATAGCAATTTGGCTTATTTCAGAGAGTGGAAAGTGAGTCTGGCTGAAAATGTTTGGATCTTCAATTTTTCACTTGCCAGACGTTTTATCTATAATCACAGATTAGCCGGACTATTTTTTTACGTAACTTCAGTATACCTACCTTTTATTAGTCAAGCTATTTTTATCACTGGAAAAAAAGGGTCGTGCATTCGTAAGTTCTAAAGCACTTTGCGCCTCAACCCATCGGAAAACCCCCCCTAAAAATATATGAATTACTAACCCTAAAATTATATACATGTTTTCTGACTAGGAAAATAAGTACCGAAAATCGTCACTACCTCCTAGACTATTAGTTTTTGATATAGAATCGTTTTCATATACATAATCATCAAACACATTTGTACATATTTAATGATTTTGTTGAATACTGAAGTGGCATTTTGCTTCAAAGTTAAGTTAAAAAAAAAACTGTGTTCCTTTCAGTATTCATAATATTTGCCATAGACTATAATAATTAATTATTTTTATACGATTTTATAAATGGTTAAATAGAAAGTAAGAGACTGGTTGTATATAAATTATGAAGTATTTATTATGTTTAAGTTTATACAATTTTTGATTATTTTGGATAAGTATGTTTTTTTTTTTTATTACAAGAATGTACATCTTCAGGTCACATTATATTGATTCTGTGCCATGTGAACCAACCTCAGTGGACTTTCGAAGAATGACACCATATGTTGCTATTCTGCAATTAAGTATTCCATGCCACACTACAGATCTATATTATATAGTTTTCTGTTAGCTGTTGTTTTCCGTCTAAGAGCCACAATTGCTTTCTTCTCTTTCTTCCATTTTCTATAGAAGTTTTCACTCTTCAAATTTGATGAGCATCTCTTTCAAGGCAACATTTCTTAAGAGCTGGTTGATAATGTCTGCCAACACCATAATGATGAACTAACGTTTTACTTTGGGATCAGATGAGATAGAAATTAGTTGAAATTATACCTATTTGTAGTCATCCAGGTGAGTAAAAAGGTATGCTGTTGTAACCCATATTGACAATATTACAATGCTCAGACCCCCACTTTTTTCAAAAAATTGTTGTCAGTGCTGTTTAAAATGTACCAAAGATAAATAAAAATGAAATCATTACAAATGGGTAAAATTCCAACTATAAGTTCGGTGTGGCATGGCATAGTATCAGAACAATGTGTCCTAAAATGTTATTTGCATACAGATTAAATTTTAGAAAAAATAAATTCTGTTTACATTGAATAAGTGTTTCTTTACAAACTTCACATGTATAATAAAATTTATGTAAAAATCAACAACAAATTTAAAATCCTTATTCACTTGACAACGTGGAACTGGAGTGTGCTATTACGATAGACCACTCGTTGTAGTAATTTATCTCCTAACTCTTTGGAGACTTCGTGCCAAACGCATTTGCCTATTATCGGCACTTCTTCCAAAGGAGACCTAAATGGAACTAATAGTGTCAGGCAGATACCGTCCTTGCTGTCCCTTGGATCGTGCTCAACCTACAATCCAACGGTTTAATTAAATTTTATGACAAATTGTACAAATGCTTACTAATAACAATCCGTGAGGTCTGTGAGTGGGTACCTCGGCGCCAAACAGATCGACCATAAATTTCCTCAAAGTCGAATGGAAGCTTTTTCCCGGGTTCAATTGGCACACCGGTAAATGCCAAGAGGTGCGTTCACTCAACAGAATATGCACTCTGTTGGTTGCTTTCTTTTTTATTACTATCACCAAACGTAGTAGAAGATCGGAGTAAGGTCTCAGGCAAGGTAATTGGTCCGGGTGCCATGTTCGATCTTTTATTTTGCGTGCATGAGAATAGGATCTGAAAAAAAATATATCTAATCTTATACTTTGTTTTTCACATAATTAACATAAGGGTGTTTTACTGTATTATAGTTTAATTGAGAACGCCTTCATTCTTTACCATGTATAGTCCACCACACTTAAGAATGGTACAGGTAGGTAAAGTCTGTAGCATGGTTCTTGAGCTACGACTACTAAATAGACAGAGGGGACAATGGGCTATTGCTGCGTTGTCATATCAATATTATTTATTAATACATGAAAATGAAGGAAATTTTATTGCATTGGGTATTTTTAAAGGAGTTGGAAAAGATCTAACCTCCACTTGTGAGCCTCGATTTTCAAGAGAAATTGACTGGTGAAAACCGCATCTCGATATGTGGAATCGTTTTTGTGCTACGAGAGGTTTTTGAAGCCGAAATCTATGAAAAAAAATTGAAAAATTGATAAACCACCCCAAATTGCTTAACACGATTTTATCTCAGGAACTATAAGTGCAACTGAGCTGAAATTTTTAGGAATTGTATTCCTTTGAAAGACATAAAATTCAGTGAAAGTTTCAGCTTTCTATCTATAATAGAAAAAAAGTTACGACCTTTCAAAGTTTTCCAAAATCTAAATCATAAGGTAGGTACCTTCTTACTAAAACGATGGAATTTCAAATTTTTTTTTTGTCAAGTTTTTGTATCCTAATGGTCAATTAACATACCCCAAACTGCATACACTAAATTATTCTCAGATTTGAAACCGAAATCTATGAAAAAAGGCACTCAGAAAAATTGATAAATCACCCCAAATTGCGTAACACGATTTTATCTCAGGAACTATAAGTGCAAATGAGCTGAAATTTTCAGGGATTGTAGTCCTTTGAAAGGGATAAAATTCAGTGAAAGTTTCAGCTTTCTATCTATAATAGAAAAAAAGTAACGACCTTTCAAAATTTTCCAAAATCTAAATCATAAGGTACCTTCTTACTAAAACGATGGATTTTTTTTTTTTAATGTCGAGATTTTGTATCCTAATGGTCAATTAACATACCCCAAACTCCATACACTAAATTATTCTCAGATTTGAAGCCGAAATCTATGAAACAAGGCACTCAGAAAAATTGAAAAATTGATAAATTACCCCAAATTGCTTAACACGATTTTATCTCAGGAACTATAGGTGCAAATGAGCTGAAATTTTCAGGGATTGTAGTTTTTTCAAAGGGATAAAATTCAGTGAAAGTTTCAGCTTTCTATCAATAATAGAAAAAAAGTTATGATCTTTCAAAGTTTTCCAAAATCTAAATCATAAGGTAGGTACTAAAATGATGGAATTTCAATTTTTTTTTTTTCGAGATTTTGTATCCTAATGGTCAATTAACATACCCCAAACTCCATACACTAAATTATTCTCAGATTTGAAGCCGAAATCTATGAAAAAAGGCACTCAGAAAAATTGAAAAATTGATAAACCACCCCAAATTGCTTAACACGATTTTATCTCAGGAACTATAAGTGTTTGAAGTTTGACAGGGGGTCTATAACTTTTTTATTTATGAGAATTCGGTTAACTTTTTCCCTTGTAGCTTAAAAACGAACCGAGATGCGGGATACACCGGGCAACTCCTCTTGAAAATCAAGGCTCACAAGTGGGGGCAGATTTTTTCCAACTCCTCTAGAAATACCCGAAACCCAACAAAATCATCGAATCTTGGATACCCTGTACAATAACTGTCAATAAGAAGCTGATTTATACGGGATTTGAGTCACAGAAAAATCGTCCATTATTTCAGTGAAACCTCGGGTGAAACTATTTAATAGGTTTTTTTGAAAAAAAAAAAAAAAAAACTCCATTTTGTAATGATTTTCAAATAAAGATTATTATTATAAATTGACTTGGAAGCAAATTGTGTTAAAATAATATCAAAAGTTCATCAAAAATCTCAATATTTATTTAAAAAAAGAGGTAGGTACTTTGGTAAAACATAAAAAAAAAACAATTTTGTTCCAAAAATCGATGACCTTTGAAATGAATTTATAAAATATTCAAATGAATTATTTAAAAAAATGAGAAATTCCTCAGTAGATTGATTACAAGATACATTTTAGTCAGTCAATAATAAACAGGTCTTAAAGTGCTTCACATATTTCGACATCTGACATGAAAACTATTATAAATAAGTATTCATTGTCCTATGTAAGTATTACAACAATTCCTCGATTATTATAAATTATTTATCCAAAATAATCAATATTTTTAAGACCGAAGTTTGTGATGACCTAAAAGAATACAATGAAACTTTCAAGGAAGTTATAAAGCAGAGAGAAAAAATTCAAATTCCATTTTTACACACTTCGCCTCAGGTAAAATAAAATTCAAACTAATCCAAAAATAAATAAAATTTTCTCTTTTAGCTTGCCTACAGAGCAGGCATAGTAAATTACTTGAGAAAAATGTGCACTGAAAAAAAATTCAGCCATTGTTGCTTACACTTGGCCGTATATCTTTTGGATGTCTTCATGGACTGTCACAACATTATGCCAGACAAAATGCTATTACTCGGCAATGTTTGCTTGTTATTAGCTGGTAAGCATTTTGATGTCTGCCCAAAATGATTATCAAAATCATTTCTTTAGCAAAATTCGAAGAAAACGTTACCAAGGTACCTAAAATATCGGAACTGAACGCAATCGTGCAACAACGATATTTAGCAAAAGAATACAGGGATTTGGAAGTGATGATTTTGGATTATTTTTGTTGGTACATTCGATTTCCAACAGTGGCACATTATACCCATTACTATATGCAACTTGTAGTAACCAAAGAAGAATTGGCAGGCCAATCTGAATGTTTCAGGACTATGATGTATAAAATTAATGATTATGTATTGGAATATTTGGATCAAGTAATTGAAAGTAAGTTAATACATAATCTAATCTGACGATACTAATAAATTTCTTCAGATGTCCATTATATGCAAGATTTTAAACCCTCAAAACTTGCAGCTGCAATAATAGCAGCAAGTAGGTTACACTGTGGATTGTATATATGGTCGGACAATTTACAAAAGTTAACCGACTATAGTGTAGAGGACATACAAGGAGTGCTGACAACTTTACAAATAAATAAGTAAGTTTGCCTTTATTAGAAATTATTAATATAGTCTGGGAGACGACCGCATTTTTCCTACCCCGATCGAGTTATGTGTCGACACTATTATCAATATACAGGGTTAGTAAAAAGTACTGCAACACTTAAATATCTTCAAAACTGCTTAAGCCGCGTTCACACAATTCAGAATCTGACAGTTTTTGGACATGCGGAATTCAACAACGCTATTGGCAATGTTGCCAGATTTTCCAGTTTCGCGCTATACATAGTCTTTTTGTTATCTTAAATAAAATGCCCCATTTATTTTTATTGCAATAAATTGGGCGTGCCAAACTTGATAATATTCCAAACTTTCAGAATTCTATCGCTACTAGTTGCTGAAATATGACAACACCGTATTTTCGGTGAAAAGTATAGCAACGCTTGAATATCTTCAAATGCCACTTAAGCACGTTCACGAAATTTGGTATCTGGGGGTTTTCAAATTCAACCGTGATATCGGCATTGTTGCCAGACTTCCCAATTTTGCGCTAAACGTAGTCTTTTTGTTATTTTGAATAGAATGCCCCATTTATTTCTATTGCAATAAATTGGACGTGCCAAATTTAATAAGATTCCAAATTTTCAGAATTCTATCTCTACTAGTTGCTGAAATATGCCAACACCGCATTTTCAGTGAACGGTATCGCACCGCTTGAATATTTTTAAAACTTGCCTAAGCTCGTCCAGTAAATTCGGTATCTGGGAATTTATGGGTAAGCGAAATTCAGCTGTGATATCGGCATTGTTGCCAAGTTTCCCAATTTCGCGCTACACGTAGTCTTTTTGTTATCTTAAATGAAATGCCCCATTTATTTTTATTGCAATGCAGTGGTCCAAATTTTAATGAGATTCCAAATTTTCAATATGCTTCTCGTTCTGTTAGACACAACTATAGTGATAATCATTCTGGGATAGTTACCTACCTTCCTACCTATTTCAGGAGGAGCCGCAAACTTATCGGAAACGCCCGGAAATATGAATACCTTATGAACAAGTAATGTGTATTTAAAAAAAAAAAAAAACTATAAGCCACGAGCAAGCCTACGTGTACCGCAAAACTGGAAAATCTGACAACAATGCCGATATCGCGGTTGAATTTCGCTTGCCCAAAAACCCCCAGATACCAAATTTCGTGAACGTGCTTAAGCAGCGTTTGAAGATATTCAAGCGCTGCGATACTTTTCACCGAAAATACGGTGCCATATTTCAACAACTAGTAGAGACAGAACTCTGAAAATTTGTAGTCTTATCAAATTTGGCACGCCCAATTTATTGCAATAAAAATAAATGGGGCATTCTAATTAAGATTACAAAAAGACTACGTGTAGCGCAAAACTGGGAAATCTGGCAACATTGTCAATAGCACTGTTGAATTCCGCATGCCTAAAAACTGTCAGATTTCGAATTATGTGAACGCTGCTTGAGCAGTTTTGAAAATATTTAAGTGTTGCAGTACTTTTTACTAACCCTGTATAGTATCATGTGCATCTATTACCCGGTATTCCTGCCTGAGAGCAAATGCTGCCGGAAATATCTTTTAACAAATTATTAACAAATTGAAAAAAACGTAACACTACCCCCATCGAGTTATGCCCTTAGTAGGGTATCAGATTGAAGGTCTCGATGTCCCCTATTTAAAAAGTCGATCCTGCCTCGTGAGAACTTGCCGGAAAAGGGTGGCAGGACAGCATATTGGGGCAAGGGCCCGAGGTCTTTGCTTTGACACCTATCAAGCTTTGCACTAAATGATGTGTCAAATTAAAGGTGTCAATAAGTTGATTGGTTAAGGTCTGTTCGCACAGAAATCACAAACCAGTCAGAGCGAATTTCATTGGTTGGAAACTGTCAGGAAACTAGTTTCAAACAATGAAATTCACTCCTTCTGGTTTTGTGCGAAGAGACCTTAAATCAACTTATTGACACCTTTAATTTGACGCATCATTCAGCGCAAAACTTGATAGGTGTCAAAGCTGAGACCGCGGGCCCTTGCCCAATAGGCTGCCCTGCCACCTTTTTCCGGCAAATTCTCACAAGGCAGGATCGACTTTTTGGATAGGGGACATCGAGACCTTCAATCTGATACCCTACTAAGGGCATAACTCGATGGGGGTAGTGTTACGTTTTTTTCAATTTGTTAATAATTTGTTAAAAGATATTTCCGGCAGCATTTGCTCTCAGGCAGGAATATTGGTTAATAGATGCACATAATACTATATATTGATAATAGTGTCGACACATCGGGGTAGGAAAAATGCGGTCGTCTCCCTAACTAATAAGTGATTTTTTTTTATATTCCTAGATACAGTCAACAAATTGAACCGATGTTGCCCTATTCTCATTTTGTTTGCACCTTCAAGGAAAACTACTGTGAGGCTTGTAGTATAAAAAGTTGCCCCAAATGCTTTTTTTTGAAAAAAGTCTAACAATATGTAGTTCCGTATTATGAGGCATCTTTGATTAATATTGATTAGGAAAATGAATAAATAAAATATTTATTTTTAATGCCTATAGATAAGAAATACCTAATATTGATTTATATTTGTTTTGCATGCATTAGGTACATATTTTGTATTATAAAACGATTGATTGGTTTTCGAAATTAATAAATTTCTTATCAAAACTAATATACACTTTATTCAGGAAATATTTTTGTTGTTTTCTTACCTGGCTTTTTCAATTAGTTCCAAAATATCTGTGGCTCTTAATGATAGTTCTTCAAGATTCGACACCCATTTGGCCTGAAGAGATTCCTGATCGGCCTGAGCTGGTGTTTTTAGAGTACCTCCCAATACTTTACCAGTCATAACAAATCTATAAAGACAAAAATTAATCATAATTAGGTATATTATCTTTTCTGTACTAAGGTTTATGGTGAAGAAACTTAAATTATTTTTCAATTTGAAAAAGAAATTCTTACCTCAACCATACACCACCAGCACTCTCAACCATCAAAATAGTTGTACATTCAATTTCTAAGCCTGTTTCTTCTAGAACTTCTCTTTTGCATGCCTCTACGATTGTTTCGCCTTTTTCCATTCGGCCTGCAGGTAAGTACCTTAAAATATAAATGTATTACTGGTATTACCGCATATTTATTTATTATACATATTATATATTAATAGACATCGTTCTTCAAGAGAACATAATCCACACCTCAACTGAGATTTAATTGAAGAGATAATTCTGGGCAATACGCAAAGCTCTCTTGAAGACATTCTCTACTTCATACTCCACCTCTTTTAAATCTAGTGGTTTTGGTTCGAAATTTGAAAATTAGACATTTATCTAGAAATTTCTATAACTGGTTTTATATTGATTACAAGAAGATGGAAAAAGGGTAGCAAGATTAAACTTATTTTAAGTACCTATTGTGAGACCTATTTATCTTTTTATTTACTTATTTATGTATAAAAAAATACATGCATTTGAATTGATACAAAGTTTAAATCTAAAATATTTTGTGGCTTTTTATGTAGTAGGTAAGTATGTAGTTAAGGATGTTAAAAGCAAAACAGACATTAAAGTATTCCCTTCTGCGAACAAGAGTAATTAAGTAACTAACCCAAACTCGAGCCCAAACTATTCAGTAGTACATGTAGATCACAAACGAAGCACAACCGTTGTGAAAGTTCACAAATTAACTATGATTTTGAAACCAAGAAAAAACGAAAAACGATGGAGTGATGTGTACGCGATACAGTATAGTTGGAATATTTACTATGTACTTAATGCAAAGCTCCCACATTTTCAGATCAAGCTTTTCTGAGTACCCAGTAGAGACAAATACATACAGGGTGTCCCAGTTCAACTGGTCAAAAATGCTAGGGTATATAGAGGAACCATAGAGAAGTAGTTTGAGATAGACACCGATGGTCGGAAGTGCATCGTTTCCAAAATACAGGGTGTGAAAATTTAAAACAACCCTCTCTCATATCATCTGAAGGGCTAATGCTAGGCTGTTCAAATTTTCAGGGATTATTGATTTAGGAATTATACGAATTCTTAAATATCATTCCTGAATCAATAATCCCTGAAAATTTGAACAGCCTAGCATCAGCCCTTCAGATGATATGGAAGGGGACGGGCTGTTTAAATTTCAACACCCTGTATTTTGGAAACAATGCACTTCCCACCATCGGTGTCCTATCTCAAACTACTTCTCTATGGGTCTGTTCCCACAGGAGTCTCTGACAGTTTGCAAACTGTCAGTAAGAATCGCCCATACATGTTTTCAATGCTGTCGTTCCAAGATCAATCTGTAACTCAGCTGAGCGATTGTTTCTGACAGGTTGCAAACTGTCGGAGACTCCTGTGGGAACAGACCTTATGGTTCCTCTATATACCTTAGCATTTTTGACCAGTTGAATGGAGACACCCTGTATATCACTTTTAGAGCTCAAATAATGATCACAAAAATCCGTTAAACTAGACAATACAAATACAATCAGGTATAGTATTTCCAAACTCAATTGGAACAAGGTATCAACTGGTGGCTGACTGGTCACTGGTAATTTCCATAAGAAATACACTGCCACAAGTCAGCCACCAGTTAATTTATATTCAGCTTGTTCCAATTGACTTTGGAAAAACTATACTTGAAGAATCAAGAATTTTTTTAAAGAGACAAAAATCCTTACCATTTTCCTGCACAAGTTTTCTTAGCTTCCTGCATCATCAAAACATCCCCTTGTTCGTTCAAAATCACACAAGCTACAATGTATGTCACAGTCTCCCCAACGACAGGTTTATATTTCGGATCGACAGTGGGTTGAATTCCCTGAGACTCCAGCGCCTCATTTTGTTCTTCCAATGAAAAATCACATATTTCAGCTTCTTCCCCGTCCAACGGTAAACCATTGAGGACTTTGGACAAATTGGATTCTACTGTATCGGGCATCGTAACGTTTTTATAGGGCCATTATATAGCAGGTACACTACAAATGAATAATCGCTTTGGAATTTCAAAATATGCAAGCAGATGACAGCAGACTATAACTTGTGTCTGCTTTAAACGAATAAGGTGTAACACATTCCTACATAAAACTCGTTTGCTGGTCGATAGATAGTCGCACACGTGAATTTCAATTAATGTTAAATGTTAAAACGGCCATCAGAAGAAGTGAAAGTTTGTAACTGTTTCTATAAAAAATAACAAACAAAACCTGTAAACAAATAAAAGTTGGGTTATGTTCGAGGTGAACTATTAATTGACTATTAGGCAACCAGGAATACCTGAATGCTCGGAGTGCCTAGGAGTAAATTAGAGTGCACGAGTTGATCAAACCGAATTCAACTTATTTTGAATCAGTGCGAGAAAATTTGAAAAAGCGCGTTAAAATATAAGAGGCGCGAGTTAAAACTTTTGTATTTTACCAATAAATACCGAATTTAACCTTCCAAAACCGAAGTGTGTCGTAGAAAACACACGTTGGTTTTGGGACCCTTTACACAAATATCGCTAATCCTACTTTAAACCATGGCTTTCTGTTTTATTTAATTTCTTATTTTACACTGAAAAAAATCAGCATTAAAACTCAAGTCCTACGTGACTTTGAGGCCAGCATTATACTAATCAAGAGACTAGTTTTGCGAATTAAGAACGGTATTTGGTGTTACGAAACCCTTCATAACAGTATAGAAATTCTTTCCTAATAGTACACAATAGGTATTTAAGTCAAGTAGGAGTTGATCATTCCAGATAAATATCAACATGTCTTCATTGTTAAGAATATTTTTCTTGTGAATACATTTTTAAGGACTGGGATACATTTAAGCACATGCTTTCTTTAATACGGTATCCGCCAAAATAAACAGTACCGAAATCTAGAGCTCTGAGTAATCGCGCACGCAAGTTGCATTTATCATATTTCGCCTATTTGGCAGCTTTTTTGCGTCGCTATGATGCATTTTTTGAACATATACGCATGATACAAATTAATAAATCATACCTATAATTTATATGTTCAGTACTGTTTATTTTGGCGAATACTGTATTATGAATATTATCGATTATTAAATCTTTTCCTTAATCTTCCCATTATATTGATGGGACACTTAATATTTCCACCTTAATATCAGAACAAGATGAAGCGTCAGTGGTGAGTAGGTATTTAATTATGAATAAAAGTAAGTATGTACGTCAATCACTTCATCTTATTCTGCGATGTTCTAGATAGAACTAATAGACATCGAGGACATCTATTTCAACGATCACTGAAAACACAACAAATAAATGACAATAATTTCCGCGAGTATTTTCAAGAAGATTATGATAATTATTATGACACTCATAGCCATAGCCCAGTGTAAGTAAATTTTGATACCCATATGTTTATTCATTTATGATTAATTCATTTTTATAATTTGTAGATTGAATTCACACAGCGTAGGACTCATTGAAGAACTTCCCGCATCATCTATCAGTGTTGCTTCAACACCATGGCAAAGAGACCTATTCTACGTGATTTGCATTAGTACATTTTTTGTAATAAAACTATGAAAAAATATTATTTGTGTATCATTCAACATCCCAAGCTCCACAATATGCACGTAGTTATGAATTGAAAATACCGCATGCCTTATTGATAAAGTCAAAACTTTTATTATGAGTTGAAGTCTATGTAGCGCTGATTTATGTCATAAAGTTTCCAGTAATACATGCTTAATCTTTAGTATCAATAGAAAATGCAGATATATTTTTAAGAAAGTCAGGATGACTTGACTATAAATGCAGGAAGAAGTTATCTCAAGCTCTCAATGGAATTGAAATAAGCTTAAGGTACTTTGAGAATTTCAACCGTAACATGTCTTCATAGTAAAGACTCATAACTTACCTCATATACGAAGTTCTAACTACTTCATAATAAAGAAGTTGCAGTCATATCTACAGCTAAGTTTTTTCCGTGTATGTATGGAGCTATCGAATGTTAATTAAATGGTCCCTCGTTTGGGTCGAAAGAACCAGTGGCGGCAATATCCATAAGCAATGCTTAGGGGAGTCAGCATCATACTATTATAGTATAATACACGTAACTGGAACGGAACTTACAGCTGCTTTCAATGTCAATTTTTGAGGCAAATTTTATGGTAGTGAAAACGACAATAAAAGGGGTTGTTTGCTCTCTGTCGCACGCGTACATGTTTCCCAGCAATGGTGGGGTATAATAAATTCACCTAGTCCGCCTATAGTAATACGGACAAAGACGGCCACCCCTTTTACTCCATTAAAAATTTACCTCAGGCGTAATAAATGCTGGTGCCATTCCATTTACGTAGTACATTTCACTGGTCAGCATAGACTGCATGATTTTTCCATGTTATCTATTAGACATATGATATTTTTGCAGTCTTCAATGGTTCTGATTTGGACTTGCCGAACTTCCTAGCTTTCTTAAATACTATCCACCTTTCACTCTCTTTTATTATGGAACTTGAAGTAAATAATTCTTTATTGCCTGGACTTAAAGCTTACTGAACATAAGAATAAGATTTCTTTTTCATAATAGGTACCACAAGCCAACTAGTACAGATAATGTAATACCTTCCGACTCAAATCATCCATTCCCCCATAAATTTGCTGCTTTTCCTAGTTTCTCCCATAGGCTGTTTGTTGTTCCAATGAATCGTGAAAATTTCAACGCTGAGTTAAATTTCATTAAACAAATTGGTGTCAATAATGGCTATCCCATTGCCCTTATCAATAAAATCTACTTCAAGCATAGGTATGAACATATTTCTTAACTATAATCTCCTTTCTATTTCATCTTCTGATCATTTTGTTTCATTACCATACCTAGGTGCTCTTTCCCTCTTCTCCCATTCAGGCAGTATAATTTTGGTGTTGCTTTTAGGACTTTGCACTCTTTACATACTTTTGATCTTAACTCTAAAGATCCAGTACCTCTTGAAGAGAGATCGGGAGTCTATTGCTTGACCTGTCCATCAGATAATGTCAAATACTACATAGGCCAAACAGAAGCTTCTCAGTTAGAACGTTGTTAGAATTGAAGAACATATGGTAGAATTTGTAATGACCCGGGAAAATAGACCCGTAATTTACAATGTCTTTACTGTAAAAAATTAAATGTAATCAAATAATCAAAAACTGAATTTCCTGTATTTCAAATCAGTATCAATAAATTGATAATGAAACAAAATAACGTTGACCCCAAATTAATTAAAATATTTATATACGTTCAAAATTTTATTGTGTGTCATCACCAAAATCAAATCCATAGGAATAATAAAAGCGAGGCCAAAGTAATTAAATCGCTGATTTATGGCCGAGACGTCAACACGTGTATCGTTTTTTTTTTAGTTATATGTCCAATTCTTACAACCAAATCTGTTGACCCCGATAAACCAGGAAATTGCGACATAATTTTTAAACAAATACAAGAGGAAGTTTATTGAATGATGAAAATAGGAATTTTTGGGGGAACGAAACATATAAATACAGCGGTTTTAGAAGTCTTGAGATCAGTTGTTAGTTGAGTCTTCACATCAATCCAGTTGTACAATTCGAGTAAGTCCGGATTAAATTCGCGAAAAGTTTATTTTATTTTGTTGCCTCGGGAAAACGCGTTAAACAAAAAGTAACTAAAATTTATGAAAGAAAGACCATTTAAATGCGTTCAACATTATGTGCGAGCTCTGGAGATTCTATTAAAACTTCCCCCAGAATTTGTTTCTCATTCAATTTAGAAGTTTGAAACCCATTTCAGGACGCTCCAAAACACTCAAACTCAACAATGTCTTTACTGTAAAAATTAAATGTAATCAAATAATCAAAAACTGAATTTCCTGTATTTCAAATCAGTATCTATAAATTGAAAGATGAAACAAATTAGTATTGACCCAAATTAATCGAAATATTTATATCGGTACGTTCAAATTTTACACAAGCCATTAGTGACCAAGCACGTGTCATCATTTGAACTCGTAAATAAGAACCCGGAAAAGATCAATTACAAGGTTAAGCACATAATTAAATTGGACCCAAAATAACAAAAATTTCGAACAGATTGCATCATCGTCTAAATGATGAAATTAATTTTTGGAATAATATCTAGGTCGACCAATAGGATTGAAATATAGATGGTCAAACGACCGCCTATTGTCGATTTTGGTAGGTAATTAATAATATTTTGGGGGGAATCGAAAAATATAAATACAGGGATTTTAGAAGAATCAGTTGAGTTGTTAGTCAGTTCAGTTTAGTTAAATCTACAGTACCTAATGAGTTAGTCCGGATAAAATAAGCAAAAAGTTTCTTTTATTTTTGCCTCGGGAAAACGCGTTTGATTGAATCTTTGAAAAGGTTTCCGGAAAGTTGTGAAAGAAAGGACATTTAAATTCGTTCAACATTATGAGCGAGCTCTAGAGATTTTTGAAGTAAATTAATTAGGTATTTTATCGAGTGACGATTTAAATGTAAGTGCTCTAGTGACTATTATTGTTTTTTTTTACTTTAACAATGATTCGGAATGATAAGAATTGAATTGACATTGAAACAATAATGCATAAAAACTTGAGTGATTTGACTGTAAAAACTTTATTGCATAACTTAATTGCCTTCAAGTATAATGACATTTTTGAGTGATTTGACAGTAAAAACTTTATTGCATAACTTCAATTGCCTTCGAGTATAATGACATTTTTGAGTGATTTGACTGTAAAAACTTCATCGCATAACTTTAATTGCCTTCGAGTATAATGACATTTTAAATAATTTTGCAAATAACTAACAAAGGAAAATTATAATGCTCTTAACCATGTAGGAATTATTAAAGAATTTTGAATTGGATTGTCCAATTGCAGTTTAAGGGCTATAGTAACGAACTAATAAGAATTTAAATAATTGTGTTTGTTGGCTAGGAATCCGAAAATAGTAACTGTTCTGTTCAAAATTATCGTTGGTGAAGGATGGAAGTATTGTATTGAGAAAGTTTTGTTTGAAAATTGCTGTTCATGATGTACCGTTGCTGAAATTTTGAATTAGGTTTTTTTTTTTTCATTTAGAAATTATTGTAAGGTTTTTATAAAAAATAAAGTTGGTAATATATATACATATACTTAATCCAGTGAGTAGGATTTTGACCTAAATAATTATTTTGCATAAGCTGTCAGTAAATGACTTAGGAGTTTTAAGAATTTATAGATATAGGTGAAGGGTAGTTTTAATAGGAAGTGTTGTTAAAAAGAGTAAATGTAAAAACTTAGAAGTTGTTGAGAATAGAAGAAGTAGGGCGTTTTTAGTATGGATATTTCCTGGTCCGTAGTAATGAAATTTGAACGGATGTGAAATAATTTGAATTGGGAAAAATAGAAGTGGCTGTCAGAATAGAAAGATATTTGCTTGTTTAAATTTTTGATTTTAAGTATAATAAAATATAATTTAGTAAACCTCAATAGTTTGTTTCTCTCTTTTGCGAATAAACCCCCTCCATAATTTTATAGGTAGCCGCTCAAGGAAATAAACACCATCAATATACCGCTCGCCATTTACCATCTAACTAATTAAAAGAGTACTTGGGCGCATTTTGCTACAAATTCAACAATGCCACTCAAAATTTCGATTACTCATTAGCAGCTCTCGAGTTGATAATAATCAAAAAAAATCATCAGAAATTAAAATATCAGTTTACTCAACACCTGCTGAATTCCTATTATCAATTAATTTTCTTTGACATTGTCATGTAAAGATATTGATTATGGAAACAGTTCAAACAGCGGAAGCCGAACTTTTGAAAACATTACCCAAAGCAAAGAAACCAAAACGGAAAAAACGTAAATATAAAATACCTATATTTAGCAAAAAACAAAGTCTAATTTGGAATTATCCAGCTCTATGGATAACTACGACTATAGCAGGCGCAAGTCTTGGACGGCGAGAGCTTCTAGCGGCAACGTTCAAGGAAGTAATTTTTCATATAATTTCAATGGTGTTTCTTAGTACTTGTAAGTGGTTGACCGTTGATTTTTCCAATAAGCTTTTTTTAAGATATTTTCAGTCAAGTAAACCCCTCAGAATACTACCTGACTTTAAGTTTGAAAAATGCCTTTAACGTGGAAAATGGATTAATGGGTGTTGTGTCCGCTGAACAATTATGGGAGGTAAAAATGTTGGTCCTTTTATGTCTTAATTCAATTATAAGTAATAATTTTTAGTATTTAACTCAAGATATGATGTTTGGATTTTATGGTTTTGACTTTGATGAAACTGGAAACGGTAATTAAAAGAATGTTTAAGTAGGTATGTAAAATTACTTTTGTAAATGTTTTTGTAGAAACAGAAGTTAACGAGACTGGTTTATATATAAGCAAAGAAAATTTGTTGCTAGGAGTACCAAGAATCAGACAAGTAAATAGAAAATATCTAAAGACACACATAATTAAATCAAACTTTTCCAGGTGAAAGTTTCAAATGATTCCTGTGAAATCCACGGATACTTCAGAAGACTATTTGAAAGTTGCTACTACCAATTTGGACATCAATCAGAAAATCGAGAAACTTTCGGATTGGGAAAACCAATTGCGTATAATATGCACAATAAATTATAATCATCATTAAACATAATAAATATTTAATAGGTGGACCTACAGTGAACAAAAAATAACCAAAAGTGTAAGATATTGGGGTACTTTAACCTCGTACTCAGGAGGAGGTTTTTATGCTGATTTAACCAGCAGCCCAAACACAACTTTAGCCATATTGAACGAATTGAAAGAGAACTTATGGATAACTCGGGGAACCAGAGCCATTTTTGTTGATTTCAGTATTTATAATGGCAACTTGAATTTGCATTGTGTTTGCAAGTAACAAAAGAATCAGATATTTTACAAACATGATCAATTATTTATGTTTCAGATTGATTTTTGAATTCTTACCATCAGGAGGTGTAACACCAAATTACCGCTTCAGCACGGCTACCTTAACACCTGTACGCAATGTGAAGCATTACGTTTTGAAAGTGCTTCTTTACATTTTCTCGGCCTATGCTGCATATTGTTTATGTGAAGAACTCAGAGAAATGTTTTATTTTAAATGCAAATATTTTTTACAGTTTTGGAATTACATAGATTTATGTGTGATATTTGTGAGTGCAAAATGTACTAAAACTAGTTTTTATTAATTTATGTTTTAGTTGACATTTTTGCTTGTATTTGGGACTGAATACAATTTGGTGAATATAAAATATTATGTAGACAACATCCGTGATAATCCCACTGCGTATGGTAATTTGGAACAGCCGCACGTTCTATATCAAGTGGTTAATATAGGTGGAGCAGTTTTGCTATTTTTCCTTTACATGAGAACATTTAAGTATTTAAATTTCAATCGAAGAATGGCACAGTTGAATAACACTATAAGAAATGTAAAAACTTATTATTGCTCCAGCAGAGCTTCAAATAATCTAAACTGTTTCTAGTGTGCAAAAGACATCATGGGATTTTCTGTTATGTTCTTTGTAGCTTTTTTTGCCTATGCTGAACTAGGATATTTGGTATTTGGAAATGAGGTAAATAAGTTTTGGATTTAAACTGATTTAATTGTACTTTATTCTTTCAGGTTGACGATTTTCGTAGTTTTGGACAATCCATGTTCACTTTACTGCGTACCATTTTGGGGGATTTCGACTACGACAAAATACACAACGCCAATTGGATTGTGGCACCAATTTATTTCCTCACTTACATTATGTTGGTGTTTTTTGTTTTATTGGTAAGTAATAGTAACAAACTTGAGTAATTTTTTTTATAAATTATGCAATTTAGAATATGTTCCTTGCTATAATCAACGACACATATGCTGATGTGAAAACTGACATTGCCATAGCTCCTAAGGAAATGGAAATGACTGAGTACATAGGCTCGCTGTATACATTTATGAAAAGGAAACTTGGTTGTAAAGTGAAAAAAGATAAAGACACTCAAAGGCCTATTAGTACAAATATAGGCCAAATTAGAGATGCTTTAATTAAGTAAAATAATAGTTATTTGCTTAAACATAAAAACGTCTACAAATTTTGTTTTAGATGCAACTATGATGATCGTGAAATCGCAATGTATTTTACTCGGTACGACATAGATCCGTTGAAGGATTTGAAAAGGGAGGATATTGAACGGTTCCATGATATGTTTGGTAAAATTGTTTTTCTGTAATATTGAAATTATTCCACTGTTGCTTGTCAGAAAACTGCGTCTTTGTATGGACCAGCAACTAAATATAGGTATTTGTTTCACTCTCCCACCCCCAAATAGAACCACACGGACAAAGGCTTCGCTACTTTGTCTGAACTTAGACATTCTCAGGTTTTCCTGGATCTTGGAATCTCTGAGACCACCAATAAACGCAGATACTGAACCATTTTGAAAATGTATCCACGACAATCAAAAACATTGAATTTTTAAAACGTCTAGCCAATGACATGGGTCCAGCACAATCTAAAATATGTGTATTCTATACCATGGCTATGGAACCTTAGGCCAACTAATGTAGGTAACCTAGGAGGATCCCGGTTTATAGACGTACAAGCTATACAATTATGATATAATTTTTCAATATTAGAATCCAAATAAGCAGTGGCGTATCCAGCCTGAGGTTCTAGGGGGGGGGGCAAACCTGGTATGTCTGCCATAGACGGAAATTTTTATTGAGGTGCCACGCCCAAAAGTCTTCAAAACCACACAATCGAGTATTCGCTCGCTTCTCTCAATACTTTTGTAGGACAAAATATATAATATTTTCACAGAAAAATAAGGTAGTGCTATGGTTCCGTAATATTAGCCTGCCAGCCACCACTGAAAAAATCTTTGGGCTGCTCATTATAACGACTTTCAAGAAACAAGTAGGTAACATGTGTAACATAAAATCAAACTAAAATTTAATTCAATAGTCAAAGATATACAGGGTGCGGCACGAAAAACTTCCCATCCAGGTTTTATCAGGTGTCAGGTGATAAATCAAAAATCGCTCGGACACATCACTTTTTGTTTTTGAGGGACTTTATTTATTGATATTTTCACCTCTTACCTTTCAACCCCTACGCGGGGGTGACAGGTACCAGGTACCCCGCAAAAGTTCAAATGGAAAGGGGGGTGGAGTGATGCGTAATTTGTTAGCTATTTTTATTAAGATTATATCCCCAAAGTTTCAAATTGCTACTATCAACCCTGTCGAAATAGCTTGTCAAAGCTATGTGTTTTTTACCTCATATTAATACAAATTAACATATTAGTGAATAAACATGAACCATTTTGAACTGGACTGTTGAATGACGATACTTAGATTAAATGCCAATGTTATTTTATTACTATGGATAGGTACCCGTCAAAAATCTGTTGTTTTGTTATTATGTGGTAAAAATTACACAGTTCAGGTTCAGATACTCGGAAAAAAGCATTTTTCCTAACTTTGACACACTGCCATTTCGGTAGAGAAAATAGTAGCAACTTAAAACTTTGAGGATATAATTCTTACAAAAATAGCTACCAAATGACGTATGACTCGACCCCCTTTTGCGTTTGAAATTTTGGAGGTACCTGTCTCCCCCGCTTAAGGGTTGACAGGTAGGGAGTGAAAATACCAATGAAATGTGTCCCCCGAAAAACAAAAATTGACATGTTCGAGCGATTTTAGATTGGGTTAGGGTTGGGTGGGAAATTTTTCGTGCCCCACCCTGTATAATAAATACTTTAAATTACTAAAAAAATTCACCTGGAATAACTAAAATATAAATATTACAGGGTGTTCCTTAATACTAAATATCATGCATATACAAACGGAAGGAGGCGATTCTTTGGTGTTTTCTTATGACTAAATAAAATTTCAAAGAAACATGCGTTTGCAAACGCTTCGTTACCGATCTACAGGGTGTTGAAATTTCAATATATTTTTTAGTTTTTTCTTTATAGTTCCTGCGGCTTTCGAGGGATTAAGCCCAAATTTGAAATATAGGTTACGCAATAGGAGCTAAATGATTGTACATTCCACGGAAAGATTGAATCATAAAGGTACCTTTTGCATTACCAGCTTTACCAGACAATTATTATTGCTTTTCAGAAAGATGGTTTTTGTGTTTTTGGTGGTGTCGCCTTTTGACAAAGTCTGAGCCCTGATGAGTGCTGATGGCTCAAAAGCGCTAGGCAGCTAGTAATATACATTACGCTGAATATAAAACTAGTATTTTGACTTTTATTCCCTGATTGTCAAGCACAGCGTACAACTGAACAGTTTCTATTTACAAACAGGGATGTTCTGAGAGAATTTGTAAATGTGCACTTGACAGTATAAAAAGTGGGCATATCTGACACAAAATGTGCATCCCCTTGGTTTGCTTTTCAATGTTGCTGGTTGCCAATATGTAAAATGTTTATTCTTACAACGTTGCCAATTCGGATGGCCAATATTTTGTATTTTCATTGTCGATTGTCGAGCAGAGGCTGAACTGGGCTGGGATCGGCTGGGCAATAGCGTACCAAGGATGATACACACCTACAGGATTGCTTATCGGCCTATCAGCTGTTTCAACAGCCTACGTCAAGACGAGAAATAACATGCTGCCTACGTCACATCTGATGATTTGGATTGGGGAGGTGAGGGGGGATTTGTTCCACACAGGCCTTATGAGGATAGGCCATCCTGTAGTAGTAGTGTGTATCATCCTTGGTGGCGTACAAGTTAGTAGAATGTACTGAGTGTAGAGTATGGGAGTATGTATACAGTACAGTGTACTTACACTCAGTACAAATTTTCTGAAATGAAACCCCAAATTCAGAATATTCTGTGTGTTCTATTCATTGACTGAAAAATTATGAGACATTTATTCTAGAAATCAAAATGTGCATATGTAGAGATTGGGGTGCATACTGTGCATATAAATCGAAAGTGTGCATCATTATGCACAATTGTGCAGTTTGGAACATCCCTGTTTACAAAAAAGCTACCTGTTCATGTAGTTGAAAAAAGTATTATTTATTAAATTAATTTCAGTACATTCTTGAATTTATTTTTTTATTATTTGACAAATTTTTAAAAAATAAAAAGATGTTGCTCTGGGGGGGGGCAAATGCCCCCCCCCCCATGGATACGCCAGTGCAAATAAGGCCACCACAAATATCGTCGAGCCTCAGCCTTCATTCGTACGATCCCTGCATGGGTTGAACGAAGATCCTCTAAAACCCTGGATTGAAAACTTCTAGGAACAATCGTCCTAATTCCCCACAAAACACAGTCGTTCTCCACTGACAATTCATGTCGTCTTGCAAAGTACGGTTTAATATCATAGTTTGGACATATTCTAGGAGGCCAGCCCTGTAATATTATATTCTTTAACTTTGTTTAAAGTAGAATCCGTGACAGTTTCTCGAATTATTTCTTCACCTTTAACTGGTATATTTGAATACCCCATTAGGAGGATAGCCCAACGCTGAAGTCTATTAGCAGTGGAAGTAGGTATTCCTTTTTTCGAGCCAAAAATTATAACTAACGGTCTATGATCGGTTAAAAGTTTGAAATGTCTACCCTATACATATTGGTGAATTTTTTTTGATTCAAAACACAATAGCTAAACCTTCACGCTCTATTGTGAATAACGTTGCTCTTCTGGCTTTAACGTTTTTGAAGCATGAGCAATTGGCTTTTCAGATCCATCAGGATATCGGTGATAAATCACTGCAGCAACCCCTACTGAAGAAGCATCAGCTGCTAAAATTAGCAGCAAATTTGGGTCATGAGTGGGCCAAAAATTTTGGAGAAGAAAGTTTCTCCCTAATTTTTAAAAATGCTAGATGCCATTTTTCGGACCAATTCCACGTAGCATTTTTCTGCGAAGTTTATTTAGAGATTATCAATTTGGAGTAATAATTAATCATGCCCAAATAGGATTGCAATTTATCCAAATCCGAAGGCCGCGGCATGTTTAAAATGGCTTCTATTTTCTTCGGAGACTTGTGTAACCCCTTTGGAGAAATAATGAATTCCAGATATTCCACATTTGACTGCATGAATTTGCATTTCCCTTTTCTAACACATAGTCCAAAATCTTTTTGTCTTTGAAATACTTTTTTCAGATTTCCCAAGTGTGATTTTTCATCTTCCCCTGTAATTATTATATCATCTAAGTAAGATGAAACCCCTGAAAGTCTAGCCAACATCTGATTCATTAAATTTTGGTAAATACTTGGAACCAGACGAAATTCCAAATGGTAATCTTTGGAAACTAAAAAGTCCTTTATGGGTATTAATAATTATGGCACAACTCCTTACTAGAAGAATCCAATTCAATTTGAAGATAGGCTTCGGAAAAGTCTATAACAGTGAAAGTTTTCCCTCCATTTAATGTAGCAAAAATTTCTTCAGAACGTGGCAAAGGGTATTGGTAAATTCCTAAAGCACCATTGAGTCCAGTTTTAAAATCGGCACATTGGCGAATTGCCCCTTCCTTTTCTTTCACTGGAACTATGAGAGAAGCCAATTCTGAATAGCAAAAGAACTTTTTGAATCAAAGAATCAATTTCTTCTTCTATTTTATCTTTAATAGAAAAAGGTTATGGCCGTGCCCTGCAAAACACAGGCTTAGCACCCTCTCTAAGCTCCAAATGTGCCTTGAATTTAGTACAATGTCCTAGTTTACCATCAAAAACATCAGGATAACCAGATAAAATTTTATCAATTTTTGCAGTAGTGGAACTAGTATTATCTTTTACTGAAGAAGTAGTGACTGAAAAAATTTGTGAATTTCATAAATCATCAATGGAATAAGAAGTAAGATTCAATTCCGAAATCCAATTTCGTCCCAAGAGATTGCTCCCATTTCCATAACAAAAATATTAGTCCCCAGATCATCGACCCTAAAATTTTGTAACACATGTACACGCCAAACTTCCTGAGCGGCTTCATAACACCAAGTCGGACAATATTTTTCATATCTCCACCCTGGGCGATGGGACATTGCCGCGTTAGCTCTTCGTGAAGTTGTCGTTCTGACGTCCCTAAGGAAGTTGATACATGTACGTGTAGTTTCAATGCCAATTGACTGTTTTTTATATTAAATTAACGATATCACAAATGTCGGACAAAAACCATATGGCTTTGAGGAAGGTCCGACGCCCTCAACATGTCGTTGTGGCGTCCCTGAGGAAGTTGATACATGTACGTGTGGTTTTGATGCCAATCGACTGTTTTCTATGTTACATTATTGATATCACATAGGTCGGACAAAAATCACGTGGCTTTGGGGGAGTCCGACGCCCCCAACACATCGCTGTGGCGTTCCTAAGGAAGTTGATACATGTATGTCCGACAAAAATAATTATGAATAACAATGTAATTTTAAAACATGCGTAGTAAATGTCGGACAAATAAAATGAGTATTAAAGTCATTCGGACAACAAAAGTCCTTTTGGATCATTTTCTGCTGAAATTCAGGATCTTTACTCCTGAGATTGCACAAAAAACACGACTGAATATCCATTCTTTCTCACACGCGTGGTTTTGAATGACCGTTCACTAAATAATTTCCGTAAATACTCGGAGAACTATCAAAAAACAGGTCACAGAGGGCCCCACAGGTATTTGAGAAAGTAGGTGAATAATAAACTGACTGATATGCGCGTTGCGTTAAGGCAAACTAATTTAAATTTTTTCATTGATTGTCTCAAATTTCTTGTCCGACAAATGTGATATCGTTAATGTAATGTAAAAAACTGTCGATTGGTATTAAAAACACACGTACATGTATCAACTTCCTTAGGGATGCCACAGCGACATGTTGAGAGCGTCGGACCCCCCGAAGCCACGTAATTTTTGTCCGACATATAGAATAGAATAGAATAGAATAATATTTATTGCGTAATTTGTACAGTATAATATATAATAAATATAATACAAAAACAATACACAAAAGGCAACATTCGCTGAGGCGTTCTTCCATGATGCCCTGTCTCCTTGAACACTTTCATACTACTACACAGATTCCAGTAATTGGCTTTTATAAACCTTTTTAAAAATCACTAATGAATTTTTAATTAACAAATCATAGATATTTGAGTTGAGTAATTCTACAGACAGAAATGCAAAACAACTTCTAAATTTGGATGTTCGATGTAGCGGTATATTATATCTTACTGTATTTCTAAGATCCCTATTATGCAAGTCATTTCTAGGCACAATTAGAGACCAGAGATAACCAGGGCAATTACTCTTAAAAATCTTATAAAGAAAAACAGCAAAATGCAGAGAGACACGCGATTCAAACCTCAAGTGTTCATACTGCATGTAAATTGGGGTGATATGATCAAATTTACCAGTACAAGAGACAAATCGTAGACAAGAATTTTGGGCTAACTGAATTTTATTTCTCAGTTCTTTTGTCAAGAAGCTGAAGTAAACAACACTACAGTAATCCAAGTGAGGGTAAATTAATGCTTCAATCAGCATCATTTTTGTACTACATGGTAGTAAATACTTAAATGCATATAAGGATTTTAGTTTAAGATAGACTAACGACAGTTTTTTGGATATGTGAACACTGAAGCTTAAGTCACTGTCGATTATTAATCCCAAGTTTCTAGCGTTCTCGGCGTACGGAATCACCAACCCATTGACATTAAGAATTGTGAAGTTATACAAATCAAACCGATTCCTACCAGCCTTTGAACCACATATTAAATGCGCGCACTTTGACGTGTTCAAGAGCAATCCATTACTGATAGACCATTTGTATATTTTGTTCAGATCTTTATTAATTTCATTCATAGCAGCGCTGGATTCCTCCGGGGGAAACGCGGCCAAAAGCTGCGTGTCATCCGCGTAGAGGTGGACCGAGCAAAACCCGACCTGGCTAGGCAAGTCAGAGGTGTAAAAATTAAATAATAAAGGGCCTAATATGCTGCCTTGGGGGACCCCACGCGTCACGAGGACAGGCTCAGACCTTGCTCCCTCCACCTCCACAATTTGGATTCTTGATGTCAGATAACTGTCAAACCAGAGGCAGACCTGCTCAGAGAAACCATAATACCGCAGCTTGGCCATTAATAAGCTACGATTGATAAGATCAAAGGCCTTGCTATAATCAAGTAGGATCGGACACGAAATCAGGGATTGGTCGGTGTTTAAAGATATATCTGTGGTGATTTTACTCAGTGCAGTTGCGGTACTATGGCCTGCCCGGAATCCAGACTGCACTGCTGGCATAATATTTCTATTACATATAAAATCATTTATCATGTCTGAGACAAGTAACTCAAGCATTTTGCCAAGGATTGGCAAGATGCTAATGGGTCTGAGTTCATTAATAGTACTGATCTTAGCAGACTTTGGAAGAGGCTTTACAATAGAGGTTTTCCAAGCAGTGGGAAATTCCCCAGTTTGCAGAAATCGGTTGAAGAGATTAGTGAGTAATGGCACTATAAAGTCTAGGCTATAAAGTAACATATCATGAGTTATATTGTCAATTCCACTGCATTTAGACCTAATGCGTCTGAATGCGCGATAAACATCAATTTCGGTTAAGTTCTTAAAGAAAAATGAGTCATTATCCAGTCCTGCAAATTTATTACCATTAAAAAAGTCCAGAGTAGCATCATCAATTGGAGCAACCGGCTGACAGACACTTGCGAAGTGGTTGCTGATTTCGTTTACATTTTTTAAGTGATTAGGAATTTCTATGTTATTATTGCAGTGAATATTCCAGTTGTTCATTTTTGACCAAGTTCTTTTAGGATCTTTTTCAAGTTTATTCAATTCGAATGACATATAAGCTTTTTTTTCACTTCGAATGGCAAATGAAAGATAGTTTTTTATATCAAGGTAATAATTTTTGTGTGCTTGAGATAAGGTTCTTTTATATTTGTTATAAGCATTTAGTTTTAATTTTATGATTTCTTTTATAGTATCAGTTATATAGGGTTTAAATTTTCGTTTAATCAAGACAGTTTTCAAAGGTGCAAATCTGTCAAATACTTTTGTCAGCTGATGATTAAGACACTCAATGATGGTATTAGATGATCCTTGTTGAAGGATACGTTCAAATTGCTTATGATTCATTTCTGTATTAAATTCATCAATACTAAAATTTCGAAAGTCCCTGTCAGTTCGGTATTTAGCCAAAGGTTTTGAAACATCTAACACCAAAATCGCATACACTAATCTATGGTCTGTCAGATTATACATTTCCATAGTTCCCGATTTCTCAATACACAATGATTTATCTATACATACAATGTCAATTAGTGTGCTGCTACTTCTGGATACCCTAGTAGGTTCTTCAATTATTTGAGAAAAATTAAACAATTCCAGAATAGAGTTAAAGTATATACAATCTTGATTCTTTAATAATAAATTAACATTAAGATCACCCACAAGAAACACATGATCATACGAAGGTGACAGTGAGGAAAGTATGGTCTCAATTGCATCAAGCGCCCTAAAACTTACAGCGGGAGGTTTGTATAAAATACCCACCAAACAGCAAAAATTTTTATAAACAACTCTGACCCACAGTGACTCCAAATCACAATCCCCTGACCAGGAAATGTCTAAAGCCTTACATATATGATATCATTAATGTAATACAAAAAACAGTCGATTGGCATTAAAACTACACGTACATGTATCAACTTCCTTAGGGACGCCACAGCGACATGTTGGGGGTGTCGGACCTTTCCCAAAGCCACATGGTTTTTGTCCGACAAATGTGATATCGTTAATGTAATGTAAAAAATAGTCGATTGGCATTGAAACTACATGTACATGTATCAACTTCCTTAGGGACGTCAGAACGACAACTTCATGAAGAGCTAGCGCAGCAATGTCCCATCCCCCAGGGTGGAGACATGAAAAATATTGTCCGACTTGGTGGTACGAAGCCGCTCAGGAAGTTTGGCGTGTACATGAGCTACAAACTTTTAAGGTCGATGTACTGGGGACTATAGGCAGTTGATGAAAGTTTGTGTACATTTTTTAGGTAAAGAAGATCTAGCACGTAGGAGACTTGGTGAAAACGTCGTCACTCAAAGCGACTTTCAAAAGTAAGCTTTTACTAAATAAAATTCCATTTAGAAACTACATTTTTTGTAGGCAAGATGACAAATTAGTGGAACTAGAAAACAGTCTGGCAACGTTGGGAGAAAAACTGCAAGAACTTATACAAACGGTGACAGGAATTAGGGACCAACAAGCTCGGCCTGTACGATTGTAGTATTTGAATTCAACAGTTTTTTTTTCGATATGTATTTATAATAAACAAAAGGACTTATTATTTATTTACAAATATTTTACACAGCATAATACAGATTTATAAGTTCAGTCGATAATCAATCAAAAAAATAATAATAATAATAATTAAAAGTAAAAACAATTTATAAATCTGTCTTAACTTTAACATAATATTTTTCATAATATTAATGAAGTATTTATTATTAATGATGGGGTGTACAAGAAAATAAATAAGTTTTCTGGAACACCCCATTTGTATTGAATTAGCTACACCTGTGATGAGCATTCTAAAAGATATCACAAAAATGTGGCATTATTCTAAAATACCAAGAAAATTTAAAAAAAGGTGTGTCTATTTTTATACACTCTTGGAATAAGATAAAAGCTTTTTCTATGTTCCTTGTATGATACCGGGTGTCCAATAAAGGACACCTCCGATATATACTTTTAAAAAAAATTTGCTAAAACTCTAAAATGGACTTTATCTAGTATTTAATATAAAAAATATCCTTTAAAATTATTATGTTTTACCTAATACAACTTTATTTACAAAAGTTTTTTTCTTCCTGCCAATAACATGTAAAAAGGAACATAAAGTACAAAAACAATTATTACCACTTTCTTTCTTCATTCTAATTAATCTCCTATCACAGTCCTAAGTAGTACTTAATTAATATTTTTTGCACATTTAAAAAAGTTTTCATACAAATGCAATGATAATAATAATTATAATTGATTGAGTGCATTATAGTATTTGAAAATGCAAAAAGAAAACTGTGTGTGTGTATTTATTATTCTACAGAGTTGCACCTCTCAAGTACAAATTTTTAATGAAATTTGCTACTGGATGGCAAATTTAGTCTTGAGCGGAATGCATTATAGATTAAACTAAAAAAAAAACTTCTTTAAATTGACATTTGAGTAATATTGCACCAATAATAAAAACTTTAAAACAATTTATACTTAATTATTTAAAAAGTTCAATATTAATTTTACAATAATTGTAATTTAACATTTTTGTCATGAACAATCACAAGAGAATATGTAATATCAAATTAATTTAGCAAATATTCCACAATGTGTTGGAATTCGACAATCCAATCCCTATTATTTAACATCAATTTTCATGAGAAAAACAGCATTTCCATGAAGTTGATCCTCAATTATTTATTACCAAAAGACAAATTAGTCAACAATTCCCTTTCCAAAGAATCACACTCAGCCAGATCTTCACCATTCGACCGATAATAACAGCCAGAAGAAGCCATATTACTATCGATACTATCGTAAAAATCGTTCCTCGTTTCCCATAGAAATGTATTGGCGGTTTGAAATCGGTGACTTTCCGAATCGGTGGCGGTTTGCTGGATCGAGCTTTTTTCCATCAGAGAATCTGGATAGTCGTCGGCTTTAAATGAAGAGAGAATCCATGGAGATTGAGATTTTGCGTTTGTTGATAGTGAATCTTGAATCTGAAAGTAAATATGAGATTTATTTATTAATATTTTAAGGTAAAATAAGTGTCTTTGCCCCCTAGCAATAAGGATAGAAAAGCTTGGAAATGAAAATTCGATTCAAGATTGTAGGTATTTTAATTTTAATTAGTAACTTATTATTAATAATTTATTGATCCTGTGTGGTAGGCTTGCAATAATCCCACGTCAGAAGTTAATTTAAAAAATAATTAAATTATTACCTTCAGCATTATCAGCTTTCAGTTACCTTGACGATTATGCATGAGAAAATTTGACTCAAAAATAATTATCTTATTTTGATTTAAATGAGAAACAATTCTGCCACTGTATCCAATATAGATAGACATATTCAAATAATGATATACATTCCAGATTTCCGTTTGCATAAATTTAAAAAAATTAAGCAGCGACCGCCTTATAATTTACCAAAAGACATGCAACATGCACTGATTTTTTTATTTATTTTTACTACTCAGGGGCAATCATTATTAAGCCACTCGAACAAGTTAATTAATTTTGTTATTAGATTATATTGTCAGGAGTTTATAGCTATCGGGGATGCTATAATTTCAAAATTACCATACTTAAACTGTGAGTTAAATCAACCGTGGTAATGCGTAGTGAGTAGGTACATGATATATTGATATCAAAACAGGAATAAATTTATGAATTCGATTCAACTGAACAACTTGATATTTCATTTCAAGTCCTACAATGTTGGTCAGTGTGAAGTTTGAAGATCAATTTAAGTTAAAATCTCAATGGGGAAAAATTTGAGATCCTATGGTTTTTGAAGCAAATCTGAGAATTGAAGAAAAGGTTTTTAGAAATATTGTAGAATGAGGTAATAGTTACAGATTCCAGGAAAATTCGAAAGCTGAGTTTGAATGAAAAAAAGATGTTCCTCTACTGAAAACACATACATACTGAAAACCTGGAACAATAATTATCAATCTCTATTGAATTCAAACAGTAAAAGTTAAGGAAGAAAACCCGTTGTTTGCAGAACATTTTGGAAGATTTTCCATTTATAAACGAGACTTTCACTTCCTGAAAGGTTGAAGTCACTATCTAAGGTCACTATGACAGTTCAAAGTATTTGTTGCAGACGACTTTGAGAGATTTTTTTTAAAATTTTTTCGAACATCCATGAAGCAAAAATTTCCTAAATTGTTGGAAGTATTTCTGCATAAGATTTTGGAAGATTTTCTTCATTTTTTCAAACATCAATAATGGAAAAAGTTTCTAAATTAATTTTCAAGCACCAAATCCACTTTTGGATTATTTCAATTTTTTTTTTTTCAAACTACCACCTTGGAATTATAAGTGGGATTCCAATGGAATTCTGTGTTGAATTTTGAAATAATAAGTAAAAAGTACATTTTACGAGTAAACTGAATCCTGAAAATCTCAAGTCGATCTGATTCCTGAAAGTATTTTTCAGGATTTTTCAAAGATGATATAACATGAAACTGGTTAGGAAGTTAGGAAAAACATCATAATTTTGTTTTTCAGCCTCAAATTGACTTCACATTTGCCTTGTTTGATGAAAACATCCTGGTTAATAAATCCTGAAAGTTTGAAATCGATCTGATACTCCGAAGTATTTTTCAGGACTTTTTGAAGGTGATTTAATAAGAATTTTTCAACTTTTTCTGGTATCAAGTTGGAAAAAACCTCATAATTTTATTTCTGAGCTTCAGATTGACTTCAAATTTGCCTTGTTTGATGAAAACATCCTGGTTGATAAATCCTGAAAGTTTGAAATCGATCTGACATCCCGAAGTTTTTTTCAGAATTTTTCAAACGTGATTTAACGTGAATTTTCCAAGTTTTTCTGGTATTAAGTTGGTTTCAATCTCCTAATTTTATTTCTGAGCTTCAGATTGACTTTAAATTTGCGTTGTTTGATGAAAACATCCTGGTTACTAAATCCTGAAAATTTGAAATCGATCTGACATTCCGAAGTATTTTTCAGGATTATTCAAAGGTGAATTAACGTGAATTTTCCAACTTTTTCTGGTATTAAGTTGGTTTCAATCTCATAATTTTATATCTGAGCTTCAGATTGACTTCAAATTTGCCTTGTTTGATGAAAACATCCTGGTTACTAAATCCTGAAAATTTGAAATCAATCTGACATTCCGAAGTATTTTTCAGGATTATTCAAAGGTGAATTAACGTGAATTTTCCAACTTTTTCTGGTATTAAGTTGGTTTCAATCACATAATTTTATTTCTGAGCTTCAGATTGACTTCAAATTTGCCTTGTTTGAGAAAAAATGCTGGTTACTGAATCCTGAAAATTTGAAATCGATCTGATATTCCGAAGTATTTTACAGGATTTTTCAAAGGTGATTTACCGTGAATTTTCCAACTTTTTCTGGTATCAAGTTGGTTTCAATCTCATAATTTTATTTCTGAGCTTCAGATTGACTTCAAATTTGCTTTGTTTGACGAAAACATCCTAGTTACTAAATCCTGAAAATTTGAAATCGATCTGACATTCCGAAGTATTTTTCAGGATTTTTCAAAGGTGTATTAACGTGAATTTTCAAACTTTTTCTGGTATTAAGTTGGTTTCAATCTCATAATTTTATTTCTGAGCTTCAGATTGACTTCAAATTTGCCTTGTTTGATGAAAACATCCTGGTTACTAAATCCTGAAAATTTGAAATCGATCTGACATTCCGAAGTATTTTTCACGATTTTTCAAAAGTGATTTAACGTGAATTTTCCAACTTTTTCTGGTATTAAGTTGGTTTCAGTGGGTTTCAATTTCATAATATTATTTCTGAGCTTCAGATTGACTTCAAATTTGCCTCGTTTGATGAAAACATCCTGATTACTAAATCCTGAAAATTTGAAATCGATCTGACATTCCGAAGTATTTTTCAGGATTTTTCAAAGATGATTTCACGTGAATTTTCCAACTTTTTCTGGTATTAGGATAGTTTCAATATCATAATTTTATTTCTGAACTTCAGATTGACTTCAAATTTGCCTTGTTTGATGAAAACATCCTGGTTACTAAATCCTGAAAATTTTAAATCGATCTGACATTTCGAAGTATTCTTCAGGATTATTCAAAGGTGATTTCACGTGAATTTTCCAACTTTTTCTGGTATTAAGTTGGTTTCAATTCCATAATTTTATTTCTGAGCTTCAGATTGACTTCAAATTTGCCTTGTTTGATGAAAACATCCTGGTTACTAAATCCTGAAAATTTGAAATCGATCTGACATTCCGAAGTATTTTTCAGGATTTTTCAAAGATGATTTCACGTGAATTTTCCAACTTTTTCTGGTATTAAGATAGTTTCAATATCATAATTTTATTTCTGAACTTCAGATTGACTTCAAATTTGCCTTGTTTGATGAAAACATCCTGGTTACTAAATCCTGAAAATTTGAAATCGATCTGACATTCCGAAGTATTTTTCAGGATTATTCAAAGCTGAATTAACGTGAATTTTCCAACTTTTTCTGGTATTAAGTTGGTTTCAATCTCATAATTTTATATCTGAGCTTCAGATTGACTTCAAATTTGCCTTGTTTGATGAAAACATCCTGGTTACTAAATCCTGAAAATTTGAAATCAATCTGACATTCCGAAGTATTTTTCAGGATTATTCAAAGGTGAATTAACGTGAATTTTCCAACTTTTTCTGGTATTAAGTTGGTTTCAATCACATAATTTTATTTCTGAGCTTCAGATTGACTTCAAATTTGCCTTGTTTGATGAAAACATCCTGGTTACTAAATCCTGAAAATTTGAAATCGATCTGACATTGCGAAGTATTTTTCACGATTTTTCAAAAGTGATTTAACGTGAATTTTCCAACTTTTTCTGGCATTAAGTTGGTTTCAATCTCATAATTTTATTTCTGAGCTTCAGATTGACTTCAAATTTGCGTTGTTTGATGAAAACATCCTGGTTACTTAATCCTGAAAATTAGAAATCGATCTGACATTCCGAAGTATTTTTCAGGATTTTTCAAAGGTGATTTAACGTGAATTTTCCAACTTTTTCTGGTATTAAGTTGGTTTCAATCTCATAATTTTATTTCTGAGCTTCAGATTGACTTCAAATTTGCGTTGTTTGATGAAAACATCCTGGTTACTAAATCCTGAAAATTTGAAATCGATCTGACATTGCGAAGTATTTTTCACGATTTTTCAAAAGTGATTTAACGTGAATTTTCCAACTTTTTCTGGCATTAAGTTGGTTTCAATCTCATAATTTTATTTCTGAGCTTCAGATTGACTTCAAATTTGCGTTGTTTGATGAAAACATCCTGGTTACTTAATCCTGAAAATTAGAAATCGATCTGACATTCCGAAGTATTTTTCAGGATTTTTCAAAGGTGATTTAACGTGAATTTTCCAACTTTTTCTGGTATTAAGTTGGTTTCAATCTCATAATTTTATTTCTGAGCTTAAGATTGACTTCAAATTTGCTTTGTTTGATGAAAACATCCTAGTTACTAAATCCTGAAAATTTGAAATCGATCTGACATTCCGAAGTATTTTTCAGGATTTTTCAAAAGTGATTTAACGTGAATTTTCCAACTTTTTCTGGTATCAAGCTGGTTTCAATCTTATAATTTTATTTCTGCGCTTTAGATTGACTTCAAATTTGCCTTGTTTGATGAAAACATCCTGGTTACTAAATCCTGAAAATTTGGAATCGATCTGCCATTCCGAAGTATTTTTCAGGATTTTTCAAAAGTGATTTAACGTGAATTTTCCAACTTTTTCTGGTATTAAGTTGGTTTCAATCTCATAATTTTATTTCTGAGCTTCAGATTGACTTCAAATTTGCGTTGTTTGATGAAAACATCCTGGTTACTTAATCCTGAAAATTAGAAATCGATCTGACATTCCGAAGTATTTTTCAGGATTTTTCAAAGGTGATTTAACGTGAATTTTCCAACTTTTTCTGGTATTAAGTTGGTTTCAATCTCATAATTTTATTTCTGAGCTTCAGATTGACTTC